TCACAGCCGTAAAGTAGAACAGAGCGAACTGATGCGCAGTATACTCGTCCTTTAATTGATAGACGGATATCTCATCTTCGCCATAGGTGACGTAAGTTGTCAAAAGCCAAACGAGCTTTTCGAATCCGTGCTGAGATTTCGTCAGACACCAACCCATTAGGGCTGACTTCTAAGATAAGTGAAGTTGTCAACGCGTTCGACTACTTCACTCCCTATCCTTAGTTCAGGTGTTGATGCAGGCCAGTCCTGGAGTAACAATTTACATTTGGATGGGGAGAATCGCATCCCAAACATCCTGGCATTATTACTGAGTTCCAACAGAAGACTCTGCATTTTGCCAGCGTCTTCACCAAACAGGACTATGTCATCTGCGTATTCTAAGTCGCTTAGTGGTCCCCCTGGTAGGAGATCAATTCCTGTAAATTCAATCGAAGAGAGTGTTATTTCCAGCAACAGGTCTATAATGAAGTTAAACAAAAATGGGGATAGTGGACAGCCTTGACGGACACCACTTGAGGTTGTAAAATCATATGACAGTTCGCCATAAGCTCTCACTCGACTGGTAGTGTTCGAGTAAAGAGCCTTCACAAGGTTTATGTACTTCTCAGGTACACCTTTCAATGACAGACACTGCCACAGAACCTTTCGGTCTACAGAGTCAAATGCTGCTTTCAAGTCAAGAAAAACTATCATTGTCGGACGCCGATAAGCGTGTCTGTGCTCTAAAACTTGACGAATGGTGAATATGTGGTCGATACAGCCACGACCAGGTCTGAAGCCAGCCTGATTTTCTCGTGTTTGCAGTTCACGAGTCTTAGTTAGGCGCCCGATAATTATTGAGGCTAGTATTTTAGATGCTATGTTGGTCAGACTAATCCCTCTATGGTTATCGCAGGATGATTTTGACCCCTTTTTATATATTGGGACAATCAGTGATTGTGACCAGTCAGATGGGATTACATCCGTCTCCCAGATTTTAGCCAGAATATTAGTCAACCTATTCGCTAAAATTGGACCACCATATTTAAAGACCTCTGGAGCCAATCCATCTGGACCAGCTGCTCTTCCTTAGGTCCTGATAGGTTTATCACTGAGATTTTTAAGGATGGTGGTCCAGTATTAGCAATGAGATTGACTGAGTTCTTGTGTAGAATGTGGGAAATGGACGTAATGCCATCTGACTGGTCTCAATCACTGATTGTGCCAGTCTATAAGAGAAGACAAAAGTCCTATTGTGACAGTCAGATTAATCATTTTGGTAAAATGGAAAAACTATACTCTAATACTTCATCTGCAAAATGTTCAATAATTGTCCCAGGCTTCATTGTTCCTGCATTTCTATACCGATCGCTTTCTGTTTCTGTTCTTCCCTTTACATTCTTCTGCTGCCAGATATTCTATTCCAGACTCACGATATATACTACTTTTGTCGATATAAGTAGCCCACACCACACTACCATCTATGTTACAAATAACCAAATTGTCGCTTTTTTTAATTATGAAATCGAACTTTTTCTAGGTTATCGTTGTCAAGCGAACATTAGGCGTTGGCTATGCAGCAGTTGATAATCCAATATTCTTTAAAGAAAATACTGAAATGCTATTAGGCGATGCAAAAACTATTTGTGATGATCTATTAAATGCATGTCGAAATTCATCATGAAGAAAACTCAATTGTATTTTAATAAAAAACCATAAATATTTTGCATATGACATTTTAAAAAAGATGAGAATGTGTTTTCTGTTTGTTTCTTTCTTGAAGTTGAACGTTTTGTATCTATTCCTCATTGGTTAGTTCTTCCATATCCATATGGATTGTTTTTGATTCACTTTTTCATTATTTTTAAAATATTCAATTATTAATTGTGTTTAATATTATGGTTGTGAGTTTATTACTCTCATATATCTCTTATTATGCAATACTAGGGTCTCATTAATTTCAGTAGGTAAACATTTGACTTTTTGATTACGTTTGCCCTGTCAGTAACTAAGGGAGCATGAAGTTCTGCTTATTTAAGTCGATATCTAGTTTCAGCGTTTAAACTTCGTGTTTGTTTGATATATGTATTTGCTAAGTTGTATTCTATGTAGTTAAAAAAATTCAATGGTTGGACTGATCACGTAGAATTGCTCTAACTTAAATTAGCGATTACGCTTTATGTAAGGATCTTCAGAAAATAGTTTGAGAGTATATCGAATGTAAACAATAAAACGTCATTTATCATCACCAATGTGTTAAAATGTATTGTTCATCATTCTGATACTGTCTACGTACTCTAACTTAGTCACTGATTTAAATACCGAAATCTTGTTCCTGCATATCTGATAGGGGATATAGATGAGTTGTGTTATTAATCTCAAGTAGCGTAAAATATGAAATATATGTGTGAGATGAAATTATCAAGATGTAAACCTGTGTGATAGAAGTAGTAACAGCACCACTGGTAATGGAACAAGATTGACCTTCAGATGCCGTAGAACGGCCAATGATTTTGAGAGTCCTTTCTGAAACCGCGTATACTATTTAAACTGCCTTCGGCGTTTGCACACTAGTGAAGTTCGGACAACAGATAGGGCTAGCTATGTCTTTATAAATTCTCAACATCAATGCCTGCTACCTATCCGAGACCCGTATTCAATACTCTAGTGAATTTCTGCAAATCCGCTCTCCATCTGTCGCTTCGAAAAGCTTGTTTCACGTGAGTTTATCCAGGGACCCTGTGGCATTTTCGTTTGGTTTTGCTGGCGTTGGTGTCACACTAAGCGCTAGAGCTGAGGTAGCACTGATCTATTGGATCACCATTAACAGTTGGTTATATGTTGTTAGATTAGAAAGTTCCATCAAAATGAGAAGTCGGTGTGAAAAACTATGTTTTTTTGTCGTCTTCGCTTATGCTCTGACAGATTGCAGCCTGGATGCGATCATGGATGAATTTTACAATCAGTTAAGTGTTCGACAGATATTGTAGTGCTAGCCGGAGTCTTGAATGGGCTGGTCGGGCGTCCAGACATAGGAGAGAGTTGGTTCAGGTGGCCATTTCGGACTTGTTGATCGCAGATCTGATATCGGTGACCGTCGTCTGCAACTGTGCGCACACCACAACCTGCTTCTGTCTAGCACAAACTACCGACACATTCATTATCGATATGCTACCTGGCGTCCTTCTACATCTTAATCCTGGACTCAGATTGATCACATCTTGGTCACCTACCTCTGACGTGGGTGCGTACAAGACTGCTGCTCCTTTAAGAGTGCCTATCATGCGCTAATCTTACTTTACGTTTCAGTAGCCAACGATTTCATTATTCTAAGTGGGTCGATTTCAGCATATTGATTACAGCTTCTGTTGCAGCTAAATCTCAAACCGAGCTAGGATCAAGGCTAGCTACCCAGCTCACTAGAAAGTATAGATGAGCATTATTTGCAGTTACGTGACGCCATGAAAATTTCAAGTAAGGTCGCTTGCAGGTTCGTGAAGCGTCGTCGTTATTGAAGTCCGTCGGTCTACTCCGGATGACCATAAGTTTAACCACAAACGAAGACTTTTACGTAATTAAATCTTGAGTAAGGACCAAGAACCCTGATAGTCAGGGCGTGCCAATGAGTTGTGAGCGGCAGTCGCATCTAGTAACTGCCAGCTCTTTCAACTCATCTGAGTAACTGATATCAAGAAGTCTGGTGTGAATAAAACCATCTGCGAAAAGATGACGGGATGCTAATCAACAGCATCTGTCGACGTCTTGGAAGATGGGCAGTGTTTTTCAGGGAGAAGCTCAACTGGTCTGATGCCCATGCGACATCGATCAAACCGTCCTTCCCCCCATGGCCTATGACGACTGATCTACCTAGCAAGACTGAATTCTAGAAAGAACTCCAACACCTGAAGTGCCGCGACCCACCAGGCCCAGATAACTTGCTTTTTCAAAGATGATCGTGCTTTTCTGGTTATCGAACTGTCTGATTCGTCTGTAAGGGTCTGGCAGTTAGAGTGTTCCAACATCATAGGATGAGTAGAAAGTTGTTCTTAACTTCAAAATGGGTTCACATCATCTATGCAACAACTATCTTGGGATAAGTCTAATTGCAATTGCGTTCAAACTAATGTCTTCCGTCATACTTCGTAGATTGTTCAAAACCCGAGAAAGATAGACCCGTGAGGAGCAGGCTGGTTATCGTTCTGATTGAGGATGTATCGATCACATATTCACCCTGAGCCTAATGTCAGAACACCATCATACTTATCACAAGTCAACAATCGTAGTGTTTCTTGACATCAGGGCTGTCTTTGATTTATTGGGTAGGTCTGTTCTCTGGGATGCTATCAGTCTGTGAAATTATTAGCAATTGGACTGAATCATGAAAACGAGTGTAAGTCACCTGGTAAAATCCACAACGAACAGTTAGAGACTTTGGATGACATGGCTCAACATTGTCTGTAGTGGCTCTGGTGTATCCATTCTTTATTTTCCGTTAGATCCTGAATTTCTAAACCTCTCATAATCTTTTTATTTCAAGAATTTATTGTTTTTGAATAGTATCTCCGATACCCGATCGTCAACGCTGGGTACCTTTAATGACAATTTTGGATTATTTCAATATTTGCATGTTCAAACACCTAGGGAATTATTATTGAAGGTATATCCATAAATCTAAATCTCTGGTAGTATTCTCTATTAATATCGTTAATGTCTTTGACTGTGGCACTGATTCAAACTCCTGGAGATCACAGATAAGCCTTGCTGATTTAAGTGAATTAGGTTATTACGATGCTGCAGATTGTCTCCAACCACCTACAGTAACAGAAGGATCAAACACATCTAGTCATCATTATTTTCATGGAACATCCTTATTAACTTACTTATGCTTTTTTAAAAAAATCTGCGAATCTGTTGGTTGATAAGAAAAGTCACGAGTTTGACAACTGTAGCATCAACGGCCATGACCTTAAATTTAATTACTTCAATCGATAAGCATCTGTTAACAAATCGATTCATTTATACTTAACAAATGATGAGAGAATAAAATATCAACGTCTAGAAATGGAAGATTTCCTTTCAGATCCTTCGTTGACAGATAACTCTTCATTTATAGTAAGTGATATATTGTATATTCTTCTCATTATGGTTCTAGATTAAATAAACTGATCTTTGATTAGAATAAAGGTAGAAAGTTAGGTACTTGAATTAGTGGCTAAGTCAAAATGTATAAACTGTATCAAACACGTGTATAGCACGTTGGAATACAGACTCAATGATTAGTCTAGTCACAGAGGATTCGAATGAATGTCCTAAGCAATAACTTCATCTGGAACTTCTCAATCAAGTGTGATTGAGTTGGTGTTGTATTTTTGGATCTTGGTTTTGCCCTTGTGTGCTGCAGAGACTACTGCTTTACTAGTTGTCTTTACCTGCATTTGTTCGTGTGTATAGGTTAGAAGAACTAGGTTATCCACAAAGTCCAAATCGTCTATCTTTGGTAGGCAGTTATTTTGATGAACACTGAAAGTTACGGTTATAAGTTCAGACTCTATTAGTAATTATAGACCAAATAAAGACAACGTATTTCTGTAAGACCTTTTTGATAAATAGGTTTTAAATGTTAGTAGCGATTAGACAAACAAAATAGGATGTACGTCATCAGTAATATTGTTCCGCCTTGTCCAGTTGAATAGGAACAGTACTACCCTCCTACTTAAAATATATTCACACTCTATTGTAATGTTCAGGTGATATGGCTACTTTTGTGACTACAGAACAAATAGAATCTTATTAAAGTTGTTTATTTTATTAGAATGAACAGATTCGATAAATATAGAAAAATTTCTTAGTGTACGTTACCATGACATGTAAATGATCAATTCGGGTTAGTTACCATTAACCTTGACGATATTCTGTAAACTGTTCAACGTTTATTGATTTGTCATCTAACGCAGTAAAGGTTTGTCCTGATGGAAGATTTAGGCAGGGTTGAGCAACATTTACCTGGCTTCACAATTACAATAAAACTGCTGTTGTTAAGTGATAACAGTATCCATTGTTAAAAGTGGTAAAATGGATTATAAGACCTAAGTGAAAACTAATGTTAAGTGGTGTCCACGAGCGTAGAAATAAGAACAGTCTAATAAACAGCTTCATTAAATTCAAAGCATGCTATAAATGTTCAAAGGAATGATGATTTTACAATCATCACGTTTTACAAAGATACATAATTACGCCATTTATATTCAAAAAAAATAAAGGCTAGGTTTTTTGTAATTAAAGAGGGTTTGAAGTATCCAGTTGTTGATACCCTTAGAGGTATTTTAATGAGTTTTCGTGAGTATATGTGAATCCTGGTCGGGTTACCTCGAGACAACCGCTTTCTAATAAATGATATAGACTAGTGGCTAGTTGTGAAAGCGAGGACTTGAGTTTCATCAGCTGGATTCATGTCTATCCCAATGTTGATCTTCATTCTGGGTCTCGATGGATAGGTGTATTACGCACTAGGCATCTGGAACGAAAGGTATTAGGTCTGAGCCCCAGGTTTCAATATCAACATATATGCCGTTACAGACATCTGAGAACTGCCAAACAGAATATTGATCATATCCCCAATCCCATTGCCAAACACAATTCATCAACTGTATTTGAATAACTGTAGAATGAAAGTCGTTATAATGAAAGAATTGTGAAAAGTTATTCCATCATTTTCTAATTGAACTTCACAGATCTATCCAAGAAAAGAAGTTTACTATGATTTTCATGATACTACAAATTATCAAGATAGTTTTTGGTTTAGTCTCCCATCAGATTTACGAATACTTGAAAGTAAGCTAACAGTTTTTTTAAAGTAATGGAATTATTATACATTGGAATTTACTTAGTATTGTTTGTTTGGATCTTCCCATTGATGTTTTTAGGACTGCAACTGGTCAGTCCGTAATTGGCATATGTGCATACTGTGCGTATTACCTCGATATAACATAAATTCACAAGCATGGTAAGCAAAGGTGGGTGGTGGCGAAATGCGCGTCCTGGATTCCACTGCTAGCCACTATCCATCTTTGCTTACCATATATCAGAATATTTGTACGATTGATAATTGTTGTTCAAACATAACCTGATATCTGTGTTAATGATCAGATTGTTTTGAACGATGAAACATTTTATGATATAATGATTGACCTTGAAAAGAAGATTTCGCTACAATAGTGTTTCAATCGAAGTCAGCCGAATAGATTAGTCCTACACAACTATTAAATTAAAGATCCACGCACCGATAGTAGCATTGAAATAGAGTTATAAGTTGGAATGCTTTACTGATGCATAAGATGTTGAAAACCAGTTGTTTTATCAATAATCTTCACCAACTTCAACGAATACTCTAAATTAACAATAATCTTGTTTTCACAAGTGACTAAGTTTAAGAGGTTTGTTCAGGAGTTCCAAAGTGTAACTCCGATCCATAGAGTTCAGCCATGTCTGATGTGAGACAAATGTCGCGGGTATTACTGGATAATGACAAGACAAAATTGTGAATCGATGAAAGTTTGGTTTGTAAAACATTTATTGCTACATAGTAGTTGAAAGACAAAGGCTCTTTAGGAGTTCGTGGATACATACTTCTGAATATTACTAGGCTAGAACAAAAAATATTATCTAGTGCATACAAGTTTTTGGTATGGTGAACCAGTGGGAATTAGATAAATGAGAAGGTCAATTGATGGAAATTAAAAGTGACCTGAAGGACAAGTGTATATCATTGGTTAAGAAATTGATTGATTTTTTATGAGGTGGAGATACATTCATATCAATGAGTGTTTGTACGTTTTATTCGGTAGGCCGATGTACTTCTTCGTTCCAGATTTTCAAAGGCTATCTAATTTAGATTATAGATTAGAGGGGTTTTGTGAAGATTTCAGTATTTTCATAGTTGAAATCATGAGTCAATGAAAGCTAGACTACCATGGAAAACCTGGAGGCACTGGGCGGCCGTTTCGTCCCATTGTGGGATTCCTCATCAGTGCGCATCCATGATATGTCCTGGGTTCGAACCTCGCTAGGCGGGATCGTGGATGACCACTGTTGAGGAGCCTCACAATAGGACAAAGCAAGCGTCAAGCAGTGCTTCCAGGTTTTCCATGATGGTCTAGCTTCAACTGACTCATGATTTCAACTATATAAAATGACTAAAATCTCCACAATCCCCCTTCTGATAATATTCAGTATTCGTCAACCTGTTTTTAGTATATATTTTCGTGTGTTGATAGTACTACTTAATCACAGTTAGTAGTTTAAGTAATGTTGTTGAAAAATAAAAGTTACCGGCTAGACGTAATGTAAACTATGTATTGATGTACAGTAATATTCATCCAAGTTAAAATCACCCTTTAACCACTTTATATTTGTGTAAAAACACTTTATTCTTGATCCATTTTAGATGTAAGTAGATCTGAGCATACATCACTCAGCTTACAGGTCTGATGGATTAGAACTAAGCTTTTTAAATCACAACTGATCTTATGTGGGATAGAAATGTTTTTATAATTGAGTTTAACGAAAACATTATCTTCTATTTATCACTAGAATTATAGTGTTAGTCTTATAAATCTCAGCGCCTCATACTTATTAGACCGATTAGTAAATACACCATATTTTAGTTATTGTATATTTTCTGTAAACTGTTACAAACTGAAATGATATGCTGCTTTATGAAGTTCTATATTATTCCATTCTTATACTATAACATAGCAATTTTTATAACTCTTCATTCAGATATGTCAGTTATAGATTATCTACGACAATTTGCACATCTTTCATCTAGAAAGCATGATTTATATCGACGTATATATAAACATTGGTGTCAAGGCTCTAAACTTTCGATTGATGTAAGTAATAGTTGTTTGTGGTAATAAACCTCAAGTTACTTTTCAGATAAGTTTTTATTTTTATTGTTAGCCGAAACTATAATTTATAAGATTGTCAACGCCATACTTAACCCTATTCCTTTACCCGGATTCGGAACCGGCAGTAACTCAAGAAAAGCTACAGGTGGAGTTAAGGTACTTGACTATCAGCTAGAAAATCTTAAACCAATGAACGTATGATTAGATTTTGCAACAAGTGTAATGAAACAAAATTAGAGCGGGTGTTTAGTTTCACAGGATTATTGAGATACTTCTATATTATAAGTAGCCGGTGATCAATAATAGGTTCACACGCCATTTGTTCCCTCAGGATCCGGGAGCTTAATATGCACCATTGGTTTTGAATCAGGGTTTTCTATTTCCTCTAGGTGGATCCTCCGTACCCATGAGCGACCAGTAGTGGAACCCAGGAGGCAAGTTTCGTCACATTTCGAACTCATCAGCAGGATGTGCTGCATACCAAACTATGCTGTCTCAAGAATATACATAAAAAATCTTTTATTCAGATAATAGAGAAAGTATTTTCAATCTATTGTATAATAAGACTATAATGAATAAAACAATGTAATGAGTCATTCATTGTGAAGAAACAGTATGCTGGGTTAACAATAAAATGTTAAAAAGGGACTGGAAGTAAAACTAAGTGTTCATAAGCATAAAATAACCTGAATAACCTGAATACCTTCATACGGAATCGGACTACATGGAGTTGTGTCATATCAATAAATCACAAAATGGTGAATAGAAAATACGTAAATAATGAAACGATCGTCCAGTACTATTGTTTACAAATGTTGTATGTTCGACATGTCCAGAGCTACAGATTTATAGAAAAGCTTTATTAACGTCTAGAATTTCGATCCCTGCCGAATTCTTGTACATATATAGCAGAATCACATACTAACAAGAATCATTTAACTAGTGCTCACCGGTTTTGTAAGGATATATCGATTGAGGTCAGTTTTTTACAAATACAATCTATGAGTTAAAACGATCTTGACAAAACTACTTCAAGTTAATAAATAATATTTCTAAATGCATAATTTGGTTACATCACATTCACACATCATAAAAGCAAACAAATGTGTCCTAACAGTAAATGAGTTATAGAAGTTAAATTCTTTACTCTTTACTTCATAACTTAAACCAAGCATGATATATTTTTGAACTGGAATTAACACAATATAAGGAAGACGATTTCAAGTGATAGGAAATAAACATTTCACTTGATAATCATTTTCAACTAAATATTACCTTTTATTACAAATTTCGTTGCTAGTATTCAATGAATAGTTCATAAATATCATATTTCAGAAAGGGGTTTTGTGGAGATTTTAGTAATTTCATAATTGAAATCATGAGTCAATTGAAGCTAGACCACTATGGAAAACCTGGATTCAATGGATGCCGGCTCAATGGTCTAGTGGTTAAGCGCTCGCGCACGTGACTAATAGGTAGTGTGTTCGAATCTCGCTAGGCAAGGTCGTGGTTGCGCACTGTGGAGGAGTTCCACAAATGGACGAAACGGCCGTTTAGTGCTTACAGGTTTTCCATGTTTGTCTAGCTTTAACTGACTCATGATTTCAACTATAAATATCATATATGTCAGCAATAGTGAATATGCTAAAAATCAATCTTAAAATGGTTTTACACAAACTGAATACAGGATTTTACACTGAATAAATATCACATTGAATTACCACATAGTTTTAAGTTTTTTATGCAATCATGACACTCTGAATCAATTGGTTTAACGAAACTTAGTAGTTGGCTATTCTTAGAAAACAGACAGAAACTGAACATGATTAAGCTAACATTAGAGAAGTTGCAATCCAAAAAGAAAAGGTGAATAACATGTTTGTTGAAAGCATATTTTCAGAAGTCTACCAGAAATTATTTTCTAATTTAGGTGGAATAAAACTGTATATAGGTAAAGTAATGTATCATAACGAACAGTTCTATAATATGAATGTGTTTATTCACCATAGATTGAAACGCATTATGCTGAGTGTTAAATAGATTAAAGTTATTTCAATAGTTGAGATAATGAGTCAGTTAAAGCTAGACCATCATGGAAAACCTGAAAGCACTTGACGGTCGTTTCATCCTATTGTAGGACTTCTCAGAAGTGCGCATTTACGATCCCACCTCTCCAGATTCGAGCTCAGGACCTATCAGTCTCATGTGCTAGCGCTTAACCTCTAGACTACTGATCCGGCAACCAACGGTGTTAATATGTAACTTCAACCGATCCACGAAATTAAGCGACATATCTACCATTGTATTCAGTGAGTTACTATCTCACAACAGATTGAAGTTAGTTGAAATCATTTCAGTTACTTAATTCTTCATAAAATCATCTGTTTTTATGTTGTTTTTTTAATTAGAAACTAAATAATGCATTTGAAGATATTGTACCAGTACAAATACCAAATAATTGTTATACATTAGTATTCAATTTAATTGGATTACAAACTATTGATTATCGATATATTGATTTTGAAACATTCTGTTGTATATGTGTTGCCGCCGAACGTCTTGTATTCTTTAAAATTATGTGAGTTCACTTTTTTTAAATACACAAATTAGTATGTACTTTTCACGATTGTATATTTGTCTACATCATGAAGGTATATCAAATTGATTTATCAATACAATAGGCACAGTTAATCAGGCATCGCTTCAAAGTAACATGATAATCGAAGAATGTTGACAGATTTTGCTTAATTACTCGGAGACAGATAAATGCTATCAGCTAATAATCTGGATCAATTTTTTGATTAAAACATATCTTGATTAAAGAATGTATTTATGCATATCTATATTTGGATTAGTCGATTAAAGCTTTCTATTCACTTTTGATTTCTTCATTGGTGTAGACGGCTGACATCGTATATAGGAAGTGTATATATTAGTAACAGACCTAAGCAGCTAGTTGGCACAATAACCTACTTATTAGGTAGAGAGTCATATACTCATTATAAAGTTACATTGTGTATGAGGCGGTTAGTAATAGCATACGACTGCCCAGATCAAAATAAATAAAACACGATTAGAACTTGAGCAACCATACTAATAAACTACCACGCGACATATTGTAGTGTCGGATGCTATGTTAAGCCCATATACCTTATTCTAACTTCTGGATAGGCAAATTTACCCATTCTTCTTGTGTTACGTTTCGACTTTGTTAATTATTCACTTATCAACCCTGACTATTTTTACATGAGCGTATGTATGTGTACACTTCCATTCTATTCATCACATGTCTGCAATGTATTTTTATTTGACTACAAATTTCGAATAACGCTTGGTTAAATGGAGTTGGCTAACGCACCTTCTCCACAGTGTGTCATTTCGCTCCGCTCTCATTGCTTCGTCCCTCTGATTGCCTGTACAGATCAATGATTGTACAAACATACGTACTCAAATATCCATTCTCGTATTTGACTTATTTAACTCCGTTATTCATCAACAAGGATTAAGTCATGTATTACATACATTATTTTAAAGGTTGGTCACTTTTGATGGAGTTTTGTTCTATGAGCTGGATGGTTTGGTCGTGGAGCTTTCGTCGTCCTTCTGAACGACATCATCAGCACAAACTTCGGGTAGAAGTGAAGTGTTTGAATTTCTCCACATGTGATTCACGGGTTGTCCTCAGCACCTCGATGTTGATTGGTTCTTGTTGATCTTAAATCTGCCATTCTTTATTTTGGTTGTATCTCCCAATGCTTTGATTTTTTCAAACACACCACTTCTACCTGAAGTTTGCGCTGATGATGTCATTCAGAAGGACGATGAAAGCTCTACGACCAAACCATCCAGCTCAGAGAACAAAAATTCATCAAAATCATCCACCCAAGCTACAAATCTTCTTCACCATCTCAAAGTTTAAACACATTTTATGGAATATCATTATTGATACAATTTATGACATAAACTGAAAAAGTTATACTACACTGGTGTCCTTGAATAGACCAATCAGAATCAAGATAGTATCTCATAGATTCTAGGTCGAAATTAAAGGCTCAATAAAAGAAGGTTTGAATGAACTATGTAAATATTGGCAACAGTTGATTCTTTACATGTTTGGAGTTGACAAAAGAACATTTATTATAAAGATTAAAAGGGAATATAACATGATGATTAAGTTAAATTACAAGAAATACTTGCTCCTAATCTAGATTATGTGTTAGATTTGATGTGATACAATGCACAATAAATGATATTTATGTAGTTAAACAATGTACTTTTACTTTAAATCGCATTCTTAACTTTCATAAGTTTGTAAATAAGAAAGAGTGACAGACCATCGTTACATTTTAGCTGATGTAAATTAGTGACCAACACTCCATAAGGTTTAATCCTAACTGAAAGCATTAGTTCAAATTCTTAATATGTAAATTTAACCCATTTTTTCTCTCACTGTAATGAATCATTCAACATTACAGGGTTAGTAATTCATATCAAAGCCATTATTCTACAGTAATTTTATGGCCAATTATTGTTAGTCGTTTTCTAACTAAATACTATCTTCTAAATAGTTAAGATCATGAGTCAATTGAAGCTAGACGACCATGGAAAACCTGGAAGCACTGGACTGCTGTTTTGTCCTACTATGGGACTCCTCAGCAGTGCGCATCCACGATCCCGCGTCGCGAGATGCGAATCCAGTACCTACCAGCACTTAACCTCTAGACCACTGAGCCGGCATCCAGCGGTGTTAATGTCTAACCTGAATAAATCCACGAAATTTCCATTTTACTGAGGTAGATACCGGTCTGTCGCTTAATTTCGTGGATTGGTTGAGGTTAGACATTTGCACCGCTTTATGCCATCTCAGTGGTTAAGTGCTGGTAGGTACTGGATTCGCATCTCGCAAGGCGGCATCGGAGACGCTCACTGCTGAGGAGTCCCACAATAGGACGAAAGGGTCGTCCAGCGCTTCCAGGTTTTCCATGGTGGTCTAGATTCAATTGACTAATCTTAACTTTATAAAATTACTAAACTCTTCACAAAACCCCCTTGTGATAAATACTGTCTTGTAGTTGATTGCTTCAAGTCGTCAATGTAACATGTCCCCAAGGAATGTTGCCATCTTTATACTCTTTCAATGTTTTTTTTTTAAAAAAAAGAACGTTAAGGGAAGAGGAATTCGTATTTTATTTATTACTTCTGTGTAACATCAATCCTTGATTGTATGACACTAAGCATCAGCTTTGTTTCAAGCAATCTCAACTGTTATTAGTTATATGAAATTATCTATTTTTTATTTATGATTTCAGGAAGGATTCGAATATATCTATACCATCAAAGAATATTTTAGAAATGATAGAATTCCAACGGCTACAATGTCAATATACACAACTTAATCTGAATAAGAATATCAGACATTTTCTTGATTTAATACTTCTCTAATATAGTGAGTTGTATAACATTTAAGTATATGGCGATTTCCGTATGTATAAAATACAAGTATACTGTCTTATATTATGAATTCTACACGTAGATAACCTCAGCGTGTGATTGATTATTCGATGTTCTTTATGTCTATGTAAGAGCGTTTCAAAACTGAATTGGATGCCATGATTGACATTCTCAAAAGTGTTTTTTATTTTGGTTACTGCCTACAATTTATGCACAAATACCTACTGTAACTGGGCTAATATTGAATAAAGCTGATATTTCGAAGCTGTTCTACTGGGAATAATTGTTTGAATTTTGTGAAACAATCAATAAATTGGACTAATTAAATCATTGTACTCCTCTGCTTCCAAACTTTTCTTGAGGTGCTAAATATTGTTCTGTTTTACGGTTCTTGAGTTATGAGAAGTTATTGTGGACTTATTACTTAATATCCCTTTTGTTTATCCCTATACCGTGATTTCTTATTTGTACTGATGTGTGGTGAAGTAATTAACCTTTATTATCACATAGGTCTGAGCTGTAAACTGAACTGTACAATAAAATTTATCTGTTTGTTGTGTTTAAACTATCGGACAGACAACGGTGAGAAACTGTGTCCTGAACTAACGGGTGTTCAACACCGATGTACATAAGTACAGGTTCTACGCTGTGACTGACTGGAGACAGATCAACCACCAACAAACTGCTCATCAAATAATCTCACAGGAACCACTGGCGCCTTCAATCACTACATACAAATACACTAGATACTAGTATCGACAAGGATCGCATAGTGTGAAAGCTATTTAGGAAGGAAGGAGATGAAAGTAAGGGTTCGCTCCCTTTTATTAATCTGTCATTTTATGTTAATAAGGTAGTTGTAATCCGTAAATTAAACAGAACATGATTTTCAATAGAGTTAAAAAATACATAATCTAGTTTTGATAGAGAATCTCATGAATTCTGCCTTACTACTTATTCTTATAAAGCTATTACTACTAAGTGGTGAAACGCCAATGAGAACTGTTGTAAGATACAATTTAACTTTGAGGTCAAAACTTTCGAAGCTATTTTCCTCTGATTTTATTTATATACATATTGATTGCATGTTTGTTGAGAATTTTTGACATTATTAGTTTCTTAATACCTTAGTTTTAAGCTTTTATTTGAATCGTAATTTGCTGCTATAATATTTTGCACTCATAAGCTAGAACCGATTAATTGTGTACTCGGTATTCAATTTTCCTATAATCAATGTTGTGTACCGTATTAATTCGGAAATTCTGGCGCTTTAACCGAGTTGGTGGATATAGAGGATCCACCTAGGGGAGTTGAAAAACCCTCATTCAAAACCAATGGTGCATATGGGCTCCAGTATCCTGAAGGAACAAATGGTGAATGAATCGATTGTTGGTCATCGGCTACCATGGGACTGCATCTCCTGAAGATGCACCACTGCCTTGTGGACTAGACCTTCAGGTCAAAGGCTCTGGATGTAGCCCCCTAAGAAAACCACCTGGTCCGGTTTTGGCACCTGGGCAGTATCACAGTCCTCACATAAATCAAATGAGATTTGTGCGGCGCATATGTATCTGGTGCCCCTTTGTACCAATATTTATGTGTTTAAATAAATAAATAATAACCGTGTTAATACTGATACTCAAATAGTCTGGTCTTGTATGTATATAAATGAATGTCTGAAATATAATAGCGATCATGGACTGATGAACATTGGTCTTGTGTTCAGGGCTAGTTAGTATTAGGTCAATGTCCAGACATAAAGTATCCGTTTTCTTAGTCCTTGCTGATCATTGATTACTTAAGTTCGCCTACGCGTATTGGTCGGTTGTTGAATATAATAAGAACTATTTTTGTTTTGTTTTTTTACATCCATTGGAAAACATGGATTCCTGATAATAGTGAGCATAAAAGTATCAAACTGTTACACAGACAGAAGGCGAATGTACTGAAATATGTATTTATTTCCTAATAGATTTATACATGAAATGTGTGTACAGTATCCGTTTAGGTAATCTAAAGTAAGACGAAAATGCAACAAAGAAGAAACCACTGTAAATCTAAACTGCTAATAACAACAATAAAGTCACTAATGGGATCAACCTCCGTCGATTTGACTGTTTCATACACACACACATACACAAAAAGATATTCTGCAGTGGAAAATTAAAACTACACAACCACAGATTGATCTATGAATCACATGTAGTACATTCCAAATCCAAAAGCGAATCCAGGCTTTACTTGATCACCAGGTTGATATGTCATTGGGAAACAATAATTCAATTCAACGCGTAAAATTCCAGCGAAACGAAATACTATACCCATACCAATTACGGTACGAGGTCGACCTTTTAGTTCATTCAAGAAATACTGACTAAATTCATTAACAGTTCTACATGTAGAAGGTGAATCAATCAATTTTTGAATAGGTCTTTCCAGTGTAGAACCTATATTATTCAAATGAAATAGTAGAATTAAGATACAAAACAAAATATATCGTAGAGAAGAGAAGGATTTGTACTATTTTATTAAGTTGTAGCTTATATGAATTAAAACTATTTCAAAACGAATATATATGGAGGAGGTCATATATATCTGCAAAATAACAGACGTATCAATAACACAATAAATGTAAACAAATGTTTTAACAGATGTTTTGGTGAGGTGACTACCTCAGTCCTTGACCCATAAATTTAATCCACAAGTCAGGGGATGCAATCACACGGTAATTAGTGATCGGAGATAGACTCGTACGCCATTTGATCACTCAGCCTATTTACATATGCAGTTTAGAATCAAATTTTGCTGACTCCTCTGACAGTGACCATAACCCTGTGGCCATATGAAGTCATTTTGAGAGACAGAACTGTCTCTACTACCGATCGTAACACGGCGTTTGAGGGAACTAAATAAAATTCCAATGAAGTTGTTATGATTAGATTAAAGCTTTTAGTTTAATTTGCAATGGCTTGGAATTATAGAGTGAACACAAACTCTGGAATCCAGACAGATCCTTCTGACGAGTACCCAAACAGGATTGCAATTGATCAATCTTTTCTGGCATATGTGGGTCCTATGCAAATTGTTTCGATATCACAAGCATTTTATCGATAGTCACCAGCAGTGGAGTCCAAAACACACGTTAAATCCCATTTGGCACTTATAAGCTGGATGTATCTGAACAGTCCGGCCCCCAAATGCCCTGGGTACAGCCGAGGAAAGAAGAGTCTCCCTTCCTCTGGAAATGCTCTCACATGGTTACGCGTATACAGACACTGCCAGGGAAGTTCTACTCACTGCCTTCTTGTGACGTGGGTATTGTTTACAAAATTGGTGCCTCTTTTTACCCACGTTTGTGTTTAAACACAAAAATATGCACACTCCAGGGTCGACGTTCACAACGTGACTCGAAACCAGTAACGTTCGCTTCAGTTACTTGTAAATAACTGAATTACTTAAACTGAGTTAATTAGATTAAATAAGTTCTAAAATAAATTACTAAACATTTTATTCAATAAAATATGTGATATGATATTCATTTAATTAGTTCTCAATAGTAACAAACTAAATTAATCTACCAGCAAGAAGGAATCCATGTAGACGTAATTGTGCAGCTAATGAACCTTCTTCAGCGCCCCAATATGGCAATGGAGTGTATAAATGAGCTCCAGTTAACCAGAAAGCATCAGCACCAACAGGTGATGATGGTGAGTTAATTGACATAGGTGTTGATAATGATTGTTGATCGTTATTATTAAGTGTTGCTTTATAACTATCTAACGTTCCAACAGTTGGCACTAGTAATGGCTCTGATGGACTTACAGTACGCCATTGAAATCCTCTAAGTTCTAAAGGTCCACCCAAAAAAAATCGATCAGAAATATGAACCTATAATATAATTTTTTTAAAATGAATAAACAATTAACGAAAGCAAAATAAATACTAAACAATAAAGACTATTTACAATAGGATATAGAATTTTTAAAAAAAGTGAGAATGTTTTATTAACAAAAAAGTCCACAGTTAGTTTACTAGGTTTCTTTAAAGATTTTTATTTCAACACATAAACATTGGTACAACGAGGTACCAAATAGATATGAGCCATATAAATCATTCGATTTGTGTGAGGGATGGAATACTGATCAGGTGATCAGACCGAAGAAAGTGGTTTTCTTAGAAGGTCACATCCAGTCTGATTTACAAGGCAGTGGAATAACGTCAGGAGATGCAGTCCCATAATAGTTGGTGACCAACGATTGGTTCATACCCCATATGTTCCTAAAGGATACTGGAGCTCATATGCACCGTTGGTTTGGAATCAGGGTTTTCTAACTCCCTTAGATGGACTCTCCATATTCACCGATTCTGTTAAATCATCGGACATTCGCTTTTTGTCCTCTCATGTTCGTAAACAACACCCCCCGAGGCGAGACATCGGGTAGTACTTGCCTGGTAGTGGTTGTATGCACAGGGCCATGTGAGAGTATTTATAGAGGAAGAGCTGATTCTCTCCACTCTCAGTCGTACCGGGGCATTTGTTTACGAAATTGAGAGGACGAAAAGCGAATGTCTGGCACTTTACCCGGGTTGGTGGACACGGAAAGTTCACCTTGGGGAGTTGAAAAACCCTCATTCAAAACCAATGGTGCACATGGGCTCCAGGATCCCGAGGGAACAAATGGCGTATGAACCAACTGTTGGTCACCAGCTACCACAGGACTGCATCTCCTGACGTCGCCCCACTGCCTTGTGGGTTAGACCTTTAGGCCAAAGCCTAGGGCAGTGATCTCCTAAGAAAACCACCTGCTTCGGTCTGGGCACCGGGGCAGTACCACAGCCCTGATACAAATCTATTGAAATTACAATTACTTCAGTGATTGAAGTTTAGGAGAGAAAAACTTCAATGTTTCGATCAAGTCTGATTCAAGCTACTTCAAGAGGACAATAATCCAATGTCGAGATTCTTGAATTGAAGGTGTTTTTCGGATGCTGAATTTGCAAGTCCAGAATATTTAATTGAGAAATAAACCATTACTTCTAATTCATATACTGATTTCAAGTGAAGTCTGTTCATTAACTTTCAGTGTATTAATTCATTTGTGTTGACTAACTAAGTATGAAGTTAGTTAATTAAGTTTCATGGCCTACCATTGGCTCAGTTAATAATCATTGTAATTAATCGATATGCAATCGAATTAAACTGGATGTAAATTTGTACGAAGCAAAAACTTGGAGAACTGATACAACCATCATCAAAAGGATACAGGTACTTATAAACCATTTTCTATACAAGATACTCAAAATTAGTTGGCCAGAAACCATCAGTAGCAACCTATTATGGCAATGAACAAACCAGTTTCCAACTCCAAAAGGAAATCCGAAAAGTAAACTAAATGTTTAAAGGTCAAACATTTCGAAAATTATCAAAATGTATCACAACGCAAGCACCAACTTAGAAAACAGAGAACGGGAACGAAGAACACATTGCACCGCGAATTGGAAGCAGGTTTCAAAGGAGTGGATCGCAGTTGCCAATAAATGGAAAGGAGATGCAAGGGCAGAGTTGGTTGGAGAATCCTGATCTGCAGGCTTCGCCCAACGAGAGGTAACAGGCGTATATATGTAATCAAGTAAATATATTGATAACTTATTTACCGATTCTACACAAAATTTAGTCACTTTAAGATAGTACCCCACTATATAAACTCTATGTGCTTGATCCCAACACTATTCATTGAATGTATCTCACAAATATCAAGACACGTTTTGGTTATCATAGTGACTGAATAGATCAAACCTTTATAATGATCATAACATACAGCCATTTCCCAGAAAGAAGTACGACCAATGGGGCGAAATCTCGAAAGAAGAGGAGGACTTACTCTAAAGGCTATTCCCTCCTTATATCAATACGTGATCAGTTAGTTGTACACAGATCGACAGAGTAGGTGTAAATTCAAAACGCGTAGACCTAATGATATAGGCAGGGATTGGTGACTGCGCAAAAATAGATGCATTTCGCTGTAACTGGTAATATAAATGACTACTACTATATTGTAGCTCTGTTGGGGATGATAAATCACTTGGTAAACGTCTTACTTTGTAATTTTATTTTGAAAACTTGAATCGCTCATGTTCGCACCAAAAGCGCCCATTTTTCCTTCAGATTGTATTTCCCACTTGGAAGGACCTTATTGTCATTGATCCGTTTTCTCTTTTGATACGCTATGTTGTGACGTCTCCCAGGGAAATTTTTATGCTGTATCTATATGCTGGAGTTGTGTGCTTCCGACTGCTTGTGAAATCTACTTCGTCCCTCAAATGGATCTGGTCTTCTCCCTCTAGTTAACAGGGCTAGAGAGCAGTGAATGGTTTAGCCTTTCCTGTTGTTGTGTTGCCGGCTTCGTTCCATTTGTCAGTTTAGGTGATATCGTGATCTTAAACGCAGAAAGCTCTGATTTGCTTGGGATTTCTATTAAGATTAAACTGTGGTTGACTGCTTATATTGAACTGGTTCTCTCATGTTAGTTAGTGGTTAGTAAAATTATATTACACTCATTCACCAGTTTATTTAGGTCTAAGTTGCACAGCAAGTGTAGGGGAACTGATGCGATCTGCTTATCTAAACGGAAGTGGGACAAGGGGTTCGAACGGAGAACTGAATAGGACTGTGCATTTGTGTATCATGTGAATTATATGCTGGTTTGGTTATCTACTGTATCGATAAAGTGCGCGCTCTATTATATATATATATATATATATATAGCACTTACCGGATGTTTACTCAAAGAATGAATCAATCCAGAAGAAAATGTCACTTCTCCAACAAGCCAGTCACATAAACGAAATGGTTTCTGAAGCAATCCCTCCAATTTCAATTGCAATGCACGATCGACTAAAGAACCTGAATCACTGAAGAAAAGAGCACAATCTTTAGTTTTAAGTAGTCAATAATTACACTTCGATGTAATTAATACCTTTTAAAGATTTATATGGTATCTGTAACCAGCACTCGATGAGTAAAAAGTTTTATGTTTACATTGACTGAACATTGAGTACCGCTTCCTGATGAGTGTCAGCCCAGAACGACAGAACCATTGACTTGACAAACATCACAGAATGTAAGGTTAGGTGATGGGGATTTGAGTCCGAAAAGAAGAATCCGTTCACCGTCGACTGTAGGCATGAATATTAACTAGTACCAGAACCTAGGATCAGAATTTCTCCTAACGACTACTTTTAAACACATAAACTTAAAAAATGGAAAGAACGAAGTTAATCAAAGAGTGAGCGAACATAAACATACTTTAGTATGCTATTTTTTGTCTGTCGAAGATAGCATATATATGTATATATGATACAAACTGTTAGTGGTATATAGATTGGATTAAAGCACATTGCATGCAGGATTATGTTAGGGCATGCTAATTGGTTATTTCTTAACCGATCACAGTTAACGGATACTTGGAGAAGACTGTAGAATCTTATCGTGTAAACACTATAAATATTACTAACGTTTTTCTTATTGTGCTTCCTACTTTCATCTATTCGTGTTCTGATTTGGGGACTTGTCGAGTGAATTAGTGTCCAAGAATACTAAGCAATAGGAGTAGGTGGGTCGTAATAAGAGAAATTATAACACTTTCATCACTTCAACCGAAAACCTACTGCGAAGGTTTCTAACTTGAACATTATTTGTCAGGCCACAGAGAAATGCAACAGGAAGTGACTACGGCAAGTGGAGTTCGTAAGGACTGTCCACCTTATGATAAATTCGATTTGTCGCAGGACGAAACGGCTATCCAGTGCTTCCAGGTTTTTAGTGGCGGTGCTCTGAAGAAGTAGCTGACACTGAGTCAGCAAAACATCAAAAAATTTAAAAGTCCTAATTTTCATCCAACGGGATATTACAAATACATCATATTTATTTATAACAATCTACTCAATTTATTTAAAATTATCGAGACCTTGATAATGAGATAAATATTTCTAATGATGCTCCAAATGCCCTGGTACGGCCGAGAGTGGGGAGAGTCCGCTCTCCCTCTCCAAATGCTCTCACATGGCCACGCGAATATATAGCCTCTGTCAGGGAAGTCCTACTCACTACCTTCTCGTGGCACTACTGTTGTTTACGAAATTTAGAGGACGAAAAGCGAATGTCCGGCGCATTAACCGGGTTGGTGGACACGGAAAGTTCACCTAGGGGAGTTGGAAAACCCTCATTCAAAACCAATGGTGCACATGGGCTCTAGTATCCTGATGGAACGAATGGCGTATGAACCTGTTGTTGGTCACCGGCTACCATGGGACTGTATCTCCTGAAGATGCTCCACTGCCTTGTGGACTAGATCTTCAGGTCAAAGGCTCGGGGTGTGTCCCCGTAAGTAAACCAGCTGCTTCAGTCTGGGCACCTGGGCAGTATCACAGCCCTCACACAAATCAAATGAGATTTGTGAGGTGCATATTTATCTGGTGCTTCCTTGTACCAATATTTATGTGTTTAAATAAAATAAAAATAAATAATTTCTAATGTTTAGATTTTCACTGGGGTTCGTATTATTTTCTACTTTGCTGTGCCGATTCGAGACATAGCAACTGGCACTGAAATACATTCATGGTAAATCCTACTACTACAGAAATGTCATTGAATCAGGTACTATTGTGATATGTGCTACTGATGTCAACAGATATAAGTAGTATGTATCACCAGTTGAATGTGAAATGCTTGGAGGCAGAAGGTTAAGGCATTCAACGAAAAGAGAACGAAAACAGAAAGTGATTGTTAAGGAAACAAAGGAATAATGAAGTCTGATACGATTGACTAACATTTTACAAATTGAGTATTTAATGTATGGTTCTCAGATTTGAATAAGATGTTCTGTAATTTTGTATTCAACTAAATTCAATTGTCCCCACTTGTGTTCTCGTTTACTACAATATCCTAGATTATTATGTAAATCTATACTTTTGATCAACTTTACCATAAAAGAATGGGTATTCTTCCTAAGCTATCAAGCAAAAACTATTGTACATGAAAACAGCCGGTTAAAATCAATTTCAACCATTAAATAATCCGTTGTGTTGATAAGTTTTATGGAAATATTCACTGCAATGGTATAAAATATTAAAATAACATTCATTCATTTTACCTAGAAGAAATATTACTAACATTAGGTTGTCCTGTTTGACTACCAGGAGTAATGGAGGCAATTTCTTGGCTTATTCTACAGAGATAACCAGAATCTGGAAAGACTAAATCAGGACGAGCATCTGATTCGAAAACATGACGAAGACTAGATTTCACTGCTGATCCGCATTCTTTGAGGACGCCTAAAGGTGCAGTAGGATCTAGGAAAAAGAAAATATAATCACTTACAATAAAATATAAGATTATTAAAGGTCTCTTCTTAATAAAATAATACATTTTACTTAGTTCTGTTGAAATGAAGCTTACCAACTACGAAAACCGGATGTTAGAGACAGTAGAAATATATTACACGTCACAGAATGATAGACGATTGTTATCTGAGTTGCTCGTAACTTGAAAAAGATTTTCATTACGTTTGGGATAATCTTTTCATAGTTATCCAACTGTACCCTGAACTCTGTGAAGACTATCAGTTTTAATGTAAGGAGAGCGTACTGATCTGCACATTAGCCAAGTTCATATATTGGTGTTTGGGATATTTTCTTTTCTAAGCGGAAAAAAATCCATCAGCATGATACATTAAAGATTGACATACAGTACCATACACCACCAAACTCACTAATGTTAGCAACAGTGAGATGGATTATACAATGTCCCAGTAACAATAACCCTTGAAAACGTTGAAAAGCAACCAACTAGGTCACTGAAATCTGTAATATCCAGCGAACTATTTTAGATATGAGTAATCAGCGAAACCTGCTAAGACAATGCCAACCTATCTACAACATATTCATAGGGAACTTTTGATTTTCATGGAAATCCTCCGGCACCACACATTAATATATATATATATATACAAACTACAAGGTATATCTATTTACGTCAATCAAGCTTTCTACGCAAACACTTGGGTTGAATTAAATATCTGAATCGGAGACAATGAAACTTATTTTCTTCCAATATATAATACGATTTTGTTTATTTCAAGTAAGTATACCAACAATTGATTGATCACTGAGTGCTGATCAATGTCATGTATGTCAGGTCCTTCTTAGTGCAGATCGAATCATATAGATCAAAATGGAATGTGACCATTAGTCTAGGTGACTCGACATTGTATGCACTTTGTTGAGATAAGATTTTGGTTAGAGGTAGTCAAAAGTAGCATACCAACGCCAAGAGGAAATAACACTCATTAATGATAGACAGTGACAGCGAGTATCATGAAACATTGCGAAAATATATGAGGACATGACAATGCTCCGATATTTTACTAAAACAAGAATCTAGATTTCACACAATTATTCAGTTCTGTGTGACAATACTCTTCAACAGGGTTTAATAGAAAACAGAGTGTACATAGATCCAGTGATTAATAGGATTTGGACAAGGACTGGTTCACAGCAAAAATATTGTTGAAATCATTGTATCAAAACTGATTATTTATGAAAAATAAGAGCGAATTGACTAGAAACACTTACAATTGTAAGGAAGTGAAGAATTTCTATCTAACTACCTTTTTATATGCTATCCATAAATACACTTAACCTACCCTTAACTTCTGTTTCTCGCCACACTGCATCCCATTGAAATTTGTGCAATCCAACGGAGGATTCTGCTTGAGCTTCTGTAAAAACTGAACGTTCATGTCGCAGAAATTTAGCCCAATAGTGATCCCAATTCCCTTCTGTCCCACCAATACTAACACGAACGTATGGATTATTTTCCAATGGCTTTGAAATAGTTGCAAACCTTTGAATGAGTAAAGAGAATAAGAGAAATGAAATGTATCCATATTACCGTGGAAATCGATTTCATTAGAGAACGTGAATAAAAAAAGTACTCGCTATTATATCCTGACGAAGAATATGTGAACCGTAGCTGTTAGGAGTTACTTATTATAAGCTTCCATACGACGCATTGACTACTACTATAGAATTTACTATTCTTATGTTATTCCTGATTTATTATTTACAGTCTATCACACTCACAGCCAGTCTGGGTTGATATTGTATAATTGCCATTACCTATTTGATGGTATGATGAAGTCCTGCGCTTTAACCGGGTTGATGGATGCGGAAAGTCCAACTAGGGGAGTTGGAAAACCCTCATTCAAAACCAATGGGCTCCAGTACCCTGAGGGAACAAATGGCGTATGAACCAATTGTTGGTCACCGGCTACCGTGGGACTGCATCTCCTGAAGATGCTCCACTGCCTTGTGAGTTAGACTTTTAGGTCAAAGGTTCGGGGTGTGACTCCCTAAGAAAACCACCTGCTTCAGTCTGGGCACCCGAGCAGTATCACAGCCCACGTACAAATCAAGTAACTTGTTTGACACATATCTATTCGGTGCCCTTTTGTAATAATATTTATGTGTTCAAATAAATAAATAAAATATATGATGCGGTTTGATTTGCTTGTATATAAACCAAGTATGTCTGAAATATATGATTCACAGTGGAGGATGAGATTGTGTTATCGACTCAAATGGACAGGGGCGGAAAAAAGCCAATAAGGGTTCAGAATTCACTCTAGGTGGTCCGTACTGATTAACGCGTCATTGGTTTGGCACAGTGCCAAGGTCATTTAAGTCGGTGTTCTAACGGGCGCTTTTATCACGTGATATATAGACAAGACACAATACTTGCAAAACCGATTTCACACAATAAATAAGAAGTATGATAAAGAAACCTTTCAATTATAGATCCAGTAGTTAGTTCGTAAGATGCAAATAAGCACCTACATGATTTAAAGAGCACATGTTTTAAATTCACTACACTGGGCTTTATGAAGTATAACGTTTGATAGACTTTTATCCATTTTCCTTTCAAGACACACAACTTTTAGCATTTTTCTAAAGAGGCGAAGGCAAAATTACTGGATGGATATTGGGAGTGAAAAACCAGCTACTATTACATCTGGTTTCCTAAATCCTTTGTCATGATGTGAGTTAGTGTTAGCTAATTGAAGGAAGAGGAGTTCCACATATTTCGCATCACAAGTGTTTATTTCCAGCAAAAACATTTCGGGGATATGGAATCCTCAAAGATAATATTCATAAACAAATCAACTCTAGAATTCACATACTGACTGATAGAGAATCTTGCCCACTGACTTATTTAGTATGAAGTTCAGCATTCTATTTTCGATGTATCTTCACCAAAATTAATTTGTGTCCTGTGATTTATCCGTATTCATTAACAATTGCTCCATTAATAAACCATAATCATTTAAATCTAAATGTGGAAGGTTAACTTTGCTTCTTGCCTTTGAGTGAAGTGTTTTCAAGGATGCTAGACAGTGGAAAGCTTAATAATAACAGACGTAAGACCAATTATATAAATGCACAGACGCATACTTAAAGTATCAAAATCAGGGAAAGTAAGGCACATGAAATATATATTATGGCAAGAAACAGAATACGGTTGAGAAGAAAACGAAGGGTTGGAGTAATAATAAAAAGTATATACATCATGTAGAAAACTCGAGGAAGTTTACCACTTAAGCATATTTGACAAGGGAAATTTCATATGGTTATATAATATTTGGCTCAAAAAGTGTATTCCAAAAAAACTAACCATTTCGTGGGACTACATCAAGTTCGAAGTTTCCCAAACAGTAATGGCGCTTAAAAGACTATCCGAACTGCTAAAGTACTGATATGATGGAAATCTTCAAATATATGTCCAAATTTTTTCTCGCCTATCAGAACAAAGATTGAACTTCGTTTAAGCACACAGTATCGATATTCAGTGGTGATACTTTTACTGAATGTGAAAAACTACAGAAATAACAGGGGTTCAACATAAAGCTTTTCTTAACGTATAGTAACCAATTTCGTGTAATAAACTCTTACACGATTAGTGGTCCAGATAGCATAAAAAATAAAAACTAATGACATTCCCGGTAATCCATGAAATCGCTATGTGTCGTATAACACAGGACCACTGGATTTCATGGAGTTCGTTCTTATTATTAATAACGATAAAGCGCTTGTAGAAAAGTATGGAACGAAAAGCTACACATTGTACGATAAGTTTATCAGGAGTAAAAATTACTTGGAAACCATCTGGTTTGAACCGATCTCAACATCAATATCAGCGCATTCAGCACGGCGAGCAAAATTATTGAGACGAACGTTTCCACATGCTTTTGTAATTCCATCAGTTCCATGAGTCATTGACATTCGGGCAGTAACGAAGCGTTTTTCCTCAACTTTGAAGGTAATCTGGTCAAGACAAACAAAAAAATGTAACTGGGAATCAAAACTGTTAAACATATGATAAAACCGTCATTAAACTAGCAAAATTACAGACAAAACAAGGTAGATGATTTAAAATTAAGTAGACAGCAAGCCATAACAATTGAAATACCGGTGACTATAACCGGAATAGAAATATCTTCCAGACGTACTATTTCAGTCAGCTACAAAGTAGGACCAGGCACATATATGCATCAGAACAGGTTGCCACACCTCATCACCACAACAAGGTGAACACCAAATTCGTAAAAGTAGTTAGTTCAATGGTAGTAATATACAAAAGAAAGATTCCATATAAGGATACGATAAAGAGAGAAAGAATTAGTTGGTTAAAAGAAAGGTATAAAGCAATTTTAGTCACAGTTTAAGGACAGACAAGGAGTGTATACACCAACGCCCTTGTGGTCGATTTCGAACCATGTCACTCCGAGTCTCCAATCATTGGTTACGATAGTCACGAGAACCCCAACCAAGTAGTCTGCATCTACCAACATGATTTCAGGCACTGATATCACGTTTTGGTTTGGCCGCCCCTAACTCTCTTTCAACCATCCCCAACACTAGTAAGCATTCCGCAACGTGATAACCGGTGTTCAGACATACGTAACAATATCCATTGGCAGAATTAACTAAAGAATTAATCAAACGTGGTAAACATGTTCGGTTTGCTATACATCCTGTTGCTGGTAAGTTTATTTAATAAATAAAGCTTTTAAATATTTTACTAGATCAACTATTACTTATTTTGACAATTTGACTAGTGCAGAGGTAGGTTGAGAGGAAGCTGTCAGGGGTCAAAAAATAGTTTCAAATCATGAAGTCACCGATAATTCCACTGAACTATTTAGGCAGACACAGACTATCTGATTGAGGTTGTAAACTATGGTTGACGTCGTTAGCTTGCACTTGTCAGAATCGATTAAAATGGTCCACGTCCGTTCACTTTTTGTCCTTTTACTATTTTAAACTTACAAATTATTTTGTACTTTTTATCTCATGAATTTATTTTCCTTGGATTATACTGTCTATGCTTAATATATTTTTACCACACACACTACTAATAACGTTCTACTTCTTTTATTCTTTTGTTTGTCTTGAAAAATTCATCTCGTTATGGTGATGAAATGTGACAATAATATATATGATTCAGATAAGAGTAAAACAACTTAAGAAGTAAGAAAAGATTCGTAAAAGAATTATGTAGTCATTTTACAAGCAGAGCTGAATAGTAACTAATAGTGGAATCAAAGACGCGAGTCGTTTCATCTTATCTTCGACTCGTCAGCTGGATATATCTGCTTCTCTGTGTTAATGTTCACACTAAGACTTTAATCCAGTCAGTACATTTTGCTTCAAACTTTAAATACATTATCCTTTAATCTACCGAGTTCAGATAACCACTGGGTTGTGCAACCGTAGTGAATTTTAATTCATTTATTAAAGTTGATTTAAACCGTTGGCGTGTTGATCTGTACAAGATGCACGTATGCGAAAACGGATTGATCAATTGCAATACTTAACATTAATAACGAGATGATTTAAAATTACCCTATCATGTTGTACAGATATTATTAAATAACATCATTTCAAGCTAATAAAACATCATGATGTTTAGATTATTTTAAACTTTAAAGGAAGAATGCCAGGACAGTTAAATGTTCTTCTAGCTGAAGCTGGTGTACCATATGATATTGTTCATGAAATGGATGAAATTAATGCTGATTTCCCAAAAACTGATTTAGTACTAGTGATTGGAGCAAATGATACTGTTAATTCTGCAGCTGAAGAAGATCCCAATTCTATAATAGCTGGTATGCCTGTATTACGTGTATGGTTGGCTAAAAAGGTCTGTTATTATTATTAATAATATTGTTTGTTGAATAAGTTATTTAACGTTGATAGATTGATAGTACTTTTGTTCAAGTGACAGGGACTTAAATCTGTTTTATCCACTTCATTGTAGGTACTTTTTTGTTATGTGTAGATCTTGAATTATAAGTTCGATTAAATTTTCGGTTTATTGAGTAGTTTTCTGAATTGTTTAAAAGTTTATTAAACAGATTGATGTCTGGTACTCTTTGTATTCTTAGAGAGTTATCTAGCCATACATTAGCTTTAATGAGGCTTGTAGAGATTTACATATTAAAGATTCCTATTGTGAAAATGACAAGTATGCAGGGAAAAAAGTTGGAGATCTTAATCACGCGTAAAAAACCTCTATTCTTAAAACTACGATTCAACGAGAATCTGGTTAGTGATGTCCTCCATGATAGATTAGCAAGAGCGGTTTATGGGACACTGTGCAGCCGATCTTACGTTGATACTTTCTAGTAGACCAGTGATATTTACTCAAAGTAAAAGTTACTTGAGTTGGCCTCCTCAATGTGAATCTACAAATTAATTGCTCCTGTGGATATAGCTATATTGGGAGCACTACCACGGAGCTTAACCAACAAATGAGTGGATATCTTCCAGTTTGGTTTAGAAGGGGCCAGGCAAAGATAATAAGTAGTTATATCTTAACACACTTAGTTGACAGAAACCAGATGGTAGGTAAGATCAAATCATTTCAGGTGATCTGTCGTATTTATCAATAAATGTTAACCAATTACATTTACAAATTACATTTTACCAGAATAAACAAGTGGTTGTCGTTTGACCGACGATAGGAGATTCAACTGTAAATGTGATGTTCTCAATATTTTAGAAAATAAATAAACATATTTATTTTAATTTACAGCAGTTTCAGTGAATAACGTCATTTTATCGAAATTCGAAACTTACTTTAATGCAACCCATAGATATTGTTTAAAAATCCCAATCATATTAAAAGACTAATATTTGAACGCACCTAACTCTCTTCCAACCGTCCCCAATACTAGTCATCATAGCGCGTCGTGGTAATCGGTGTTCAGGCATACGTAACACATGACCCAACCATCTCACTAGATGAAGATTTACAACATCACCAACTGATTTGCTATCATTCCCTAATACCCTACATCTAACCTCACTATTACTTACCCGGTGATCCCAGAAGAGACAGGCAATATTTCCAAGACATTTGTGGCCAAATAGTAGTACCTCACGAGTATCTTCTACACATAATAGCCATGTTTCTCAGCCGCAAAGTACCAGAGAACGAACTGCTGAGTAGTATACTCGTCCTTTAATTGGTACACGGATATCTCACCTTCGTCATAGGTGACGTAAGTTGACAAGAACCAAACGAGCTTTCTAAATCTGTGCAGAGACTTCATCAGACACCAACTCATTACGGATGATCAAACTTCTAAAATAAGTGAAGGTTTTGACGCGTTTGGCTCAGATACTAAAGCAAAACTATGTCCATATACAATAAACAAGTAAACAATTGACTGAAAGCCGGTCGTTCAGGCCACCAATTCACTGTTCTACAAGTCAGTTCACGTCCTCTACTAAGCATAATTGAACTGCACATAGTGTAAAGCCAATCCCCAAACAAAAAATAACGCCTGTATCAGATCAAGATCTTGAAAAATATTAGGCTAAGATAAAGTAAGAGTCAAACTGAATATCAACCATCGGATTTAATTTGAATAACATTTAAGAACTGATCCCAGACTAGACAATTGGGTTGCCCAGAATAACTTTACCGATATTTCAGACAAAATCAATAATATATTTTCACTTAAGCACAGTTCCACAATCTTTCAAGATATCTCTCTCAAACAGGTAGTTTTAGAGCACACTATTTTAAGACAAATCGGATGCAGCCATAACATCAAGAAACGCAACACTTGCTGAATTAAATTAAGACATTTCAGCATTAGGCACATGTTGTCAATGAGGCTTTCATTTGAAAGGCAGTATTTCATTGGCTCTACACAGCCTCGTCGATGGAAGTTGATCCTTAGAATTTGACTTTTTCGGGCAAGAGATCATCCTTCATCACCTAAAATGGCACATAAACCATATAAAGCTCTTAGTTTCTTTTTAACAAACAAATGTCTTTGGTGATCGATGCTTGACGACTAATAACGGGTACTATTACCATTGTGTACATTTGCAATTCACACAATATTGAGACACAAAGCATATTAAGTACCGATAATACCTTTCAAATGTTGTTTTTTAAACAAGATTACTTTATATGCATCCGGCTTCGAATGATCTTCAGACACATCCACAACAGCGAAAATAGTTTTGAACACTCCAAGTTTTGCGAGCTTTTCTTTAGCAACCCTCACATTCTCAAAAAGGTCCCGCAAATTCTGAGATTTCACCAATGTCACAAACTTAATGAATTAAAGTTCAAATCAAAGATTATCAACTACCTGTTTTTTGACAATTGAATCATGTGTCCTGTCCAATCCAGAGACAACAACTTCATCGACGGTAGCAGGTATGGACTCCAAATTATAATAAGTATCCGTAGGCATGTTGACAAAAATGGAAGACGACTCAAAAGCACTTAAGTTATTGAACAACTCTACCTTAGAGTCAAAAATGTAGATCGGGAATATAGCAGATCAAGTAACGAACAGCTTTCTACAAGCCGCCTTCACGGCTGTAGTCACAAAATTGGCCAACACCTCAATATCCAATGTCTCTCCCAACCAGTAAAAAGTGATTAGTCGTTTAGTACTTGAACGATTATTTTATGTGATCGTTTAATCTGAGAGATCTATTAACAAGGAGCACAGAATAAACGTACTGCAATTTTTTACTCTAACTTTGTATATTATTCGTATAAACCTGGAATTAATTTCAACAATATTCAGGGCTTTGTTAGTGGTTCTAGTATTAAGAACTCATTTTCCTTAACTTTTATCTTTTGATATTAAGTTCCTCTTCATACGTAGCTATCAGAGGACACTGAACAAATAACTAAACTGCATTTATTGTATGATAACGTGAGTAATGAATTGATGTCTTCTTATGAATAATATGAAAAAGCTTAAAAAAGAGATAACTCGTTCGTCCTTTATATGTTCTAAACGGAATAAAACACGAAGTTGGGTAGGCCAAATCATGACGAAAACCGTAAAGTAGTCATAGATATTCGGTGTTTTTGGGTTAATTTAATGCTACAAAACTTTTCTGTGCCGATACAGTTCATGGATAAAGAATAGGTAGGCGTGAAAATGTTATAATAAGCCACAGTAGAGTAATATCGTTGACAAGCGATCTATGGTTTTCCATTTACACGTCATGGAAATTCCGTATGTCGGATATGAACAATCCAGCCGTCCGACGGGTGGTGTTATTAGAATGACCAGATGGATCGATCAGTCACTGTAAAGAACGAATACACGGAGTCTGATGTGGTTTTTCTGGTTTGGGAAGAATTCAATCGACCTGGTTTGTCATGAAATTGTGCCAAGGAATTGAGAAAAAACTAACGCATACGGATGTGTACGACAGGCGAATAAACTGAGTGTCTACTTGAGGGACTGATTCTTAACTTCATGCTCTGAAATGTAGTGTAATGGGAATAGCATGTTAGTTTCAGGAGTTAGATAATGCTTAAGAGCAATGAATGATACAGCTATAGTTATATATGTGGACAAATAGTTAAGAAGAACACATTACTTACCAATCGGTTGGTAATATGATGCATATAAGGATGTTATAGCTAGGGTTATCGATTAAACAAAAATTTGTTGCACACATATGCAAGAAACCTGGCGTCGTCTAAAAATTGAAGATTACGTTTGCTGAGTACAGATTTCAAGAATGAATATTAGTTGAACATGTGGAACAAAAGTTGCTTCTCTTGATAGTCTGATCACTCCAGACTTACCTCAATAGTGGTTCTCTGATCTGATTTAAATTTGAAGGAACAAATTAATACTTCATTAGTATAAATCTCCCATTTTATTTCATATATACAGCTAGGATAACCACATTGAATCAATGGCTGCAAGAAGAAGTATCTTATAGATTAAATGCAAGCACTCGTTCACTCAGACAGACGTTGAAATGGAGGAGCCATTTTAATTCACTGTTCCGACGTTCGCTATTGTTACGTGTTGAACGCAGATCTCAGCAATAATACATCCAGATTCGAAGATCGTGTGGTTAGAAACCGAATCATTACAGGCTGACACAAGCTAGATGGATAACTTACTTGATGAGATCACAAAGGCCAGCATCTAGTGTATTTTATGCCAACTAACAGAAAACATTATTGTTGTTTGTTCTTACTCGCTTTGAAGACACTAAGAGCTTGTGCATCTTGAAAGTTCATCAATTTTGTAATCCATCAAACTGTTGATAGCGCATCAATGTTCGTATTTTTGAAGTCCGTTTCTCCAAATCTTTAATACTTCATTTTATATTTTATGACTGTGATTTAGTGTAAAGTGAATGGACTTCATATTAGATGATGTCAACTTTAATCACTAAACAGTAGTTTTCTGTTCCGGCGGTTTTCGCTAATCATTAAACCGAAGTTGATATGTGCTCCTTTTGTCAATTGTTACCCTGCTTTCAAATTTATCCATTTTCGCTGGAACATATTTGCTGCGCCTATTCTAAGGAAGGAATATTTAACGGCCATGTATGTAATTTTATACTCGCAACGCCAGCCAATACGTGGAGCCCAGAATACTGAGTAACTGTCAACACCATGTTGAAAAGTAGTAAGGTATCCATTGGTAAGTTTTACAATTTAATAAACACCACAATACTAAACTGCTGATAACAATTCACTGAGTATGTCGAGGATTATGCAAGCATCAATCTATTGTTGAGATATTAAGAAGTCTGGATAATAGCATTATAAACAGGAAGTATAATGGGGACTGTGTTGCTCGTCGTTAACCTATCCAACTACGACGAGCGTGCTGGCGCCCAATCGATGAAGTCTTAAAATGATCAGATAAATAATAATAATAATAGTTTATTCTCGAATAACATTAAACATCAACTGTGTTGTCTTTGAACCACCTGATCACTCGCTTAATCTACTTCAAGGTATTTGATTGAAATATTGACAAAGCGACTATTTTGCCCACATTGTCTATGAATTGAATAGTCGTAAATCATGGCTTTTTGAAGTCGGATCATTTAACTTTACCTACTACATGTTGTATTAATACCTGGCAAATAAACTTAAGATGATTATTTCTCCCATTGGATACTTAGAGTCTGTAAGGACAATGCAATGTTCAGAATGATAGTGAACATGAATGACAGATCATTCAGAGATTTAGAATTATATTGTTTTGAGTACCTGGAAAAAGCAGCTCTATGAACGGCTAGTAGATAATATGTCTACTGTGAAGCAAAGCATCGTTTGCTAAGATGGGACACTTTTCCATGATCTAACTTTGTTAATTAATTGCTTGTCAAGCTTGACTGTTTTTATATATAAGCATATGTGTGTGCATTTCTTATCTCATTCATTGCATATCTGTAACTTTTGTGTGACTCAAAATATAGATTAACGCTTGGCCTAGCTGAGTTGACTCATACGCCTTATCCACTGCACGTCGCTTCGCTTTGCTCCCTTCTCTTCGCTTTGTCCTTCTGTTTGTCTGTTCAAATCAATGAGTGTGCAAAGCATACTTATTAAAAACTCCATTCTTGCATTTGGCTTATGTAATTCCCTAATTCACTGACTCAATTTAAGTCGATAATTATATACAAGAATGGGCGACATGTATATTTCAATACCAATCAGAAACGATCCAAATGAAATCAGATGTAGGTACACTAAGGCGATGAACTCGACAACACATAGTTGTTCGATCTTATTGGCGTCAAAATACTGAGGCATCAAAGACTTGATCTGCTCTCCACTCCTTGCCTTTGAAATTTGCAGCAGTTATAAAATTGATGATGGTGTTGTTGATGTTTTCAACTGATAGTGATCAAGACTATTTTATGATTAGGATGAAGACCCCTTCAGACGTTATTTCTTTATAAACAAAATTTGTTAAAGCAGGTTGATTGCTAATTCAACTTTAGGGTCTTTGAAGTTCATAGATAGTGTGAATATTCAGACTGTATATCTCGAAACAGAGAGAAAAGTCTTAGAAAAGTAGATCGGTCCGTGCAAAATAAGTCAGGCGAACTGCCTGAAAATGTCATAGTGTAGCTAAATTAGTGATTTTACCCAACCATTACAGTTGAATGATTGTTTAACTGTGATGATTGCTTGAGTCATTTCGTTGTTAATGTTAAGAAATAAAATTGCTTGGAAATGACTGTAGCCTGATGATAACAACAAAGAAGCCCACCTTAAATGCCCATGCACCTAATGCAAATGACGAATTACAGTTTATAAGGTCAATAAGAAGGAGATTCAAATAAGTACTGTTTAGTAGTTAGACTTTCATCATTACATCCAATGATCAATTTAATTCCAAGTTTATTTATGGCAAAAAACTAAAATCCAAAATATAACAACATAAAATGTCTCACTATGTATATACCTTACAAATATGGCCACTTCACATAATTAGAAAGTTTGTGACTGTCAGTTTTTAATTTTCAAATGCATCAAGATTTCATTATATTACGTTCCTAGGATTACGAAAATTACTCAATCATTAACTGATTAATCTATCACAGAGTAAGTGTTTTCAGGTGATCAAAGCTAATCAATAGAAAGCCGCGATTCACCTTAATTTCTCAACAGTCAAAATACCTCAACATGTTACACAATCGATCTTGATAGTAATGATGCTTCTTGTGAGAATCAAATTCATGTCATCTAGTTCACAATCCAAAATGTAACCAGTGAGTTGTTCGGGATTGCATGAACGTCATATAAGGTTAAGAAACATGGAACAGACGTATTTCGTTTATTAGTTTATCTTTATCAGTAATCCGAAATTGTTTAGAAATTTATTTTCAGTTCTTACTTCTAGTTCATGTTAATCATAGATGTTCACATAGTCACTATTCCTATATTGTGTACACAGTTATAAACTGTAGAAAGGTAAAATAATATTATTCAATTATGTTGAACGATATGTATTAGTGCCGTTTTAATTTTCTGATAAACACAATAATTGTCATCTAATTATTTCTCTTTTGTATTTTTGTTTAAATAGCTCTCATCAAGCTATCATCTTTTTTTATCTTACAAATCTAAAATAAATTTCATCGTGGAATCATTCAGCAATCCCATTATAAGTATTTCAGTTGCTATGTATGTGAAATTAGTAACTGATGTTTTTGTGAAGGAAAACATAAGTAGGGGAAAACCAACGTATTTTGGTTTGAAACTATAGAGTATCTTGGTAAAATATAAGGATCAAACACTGAATACATCATTTACCATTTTATCATTACCTCCTGGTAATGTTGAGTCGCAGTTCACTATGACCACCACCACTGATCGATCACGTGCCAACTAACAGGTTAAATCCCTCAGTAAGATAAATATTAGAAGAAAAGTTATAGATTGTAGTTAGGATATATTTGTTGGTGTTCTTGTGGTATCAAAATAATGCCGGAATCGTGCCAAAGTTTAGAGGCGAGACCACCGTGCATACGGAAGTAAGTTCAAGGTAACAAACAATGGAAGAAATGTGTTTTCGATATAATTAAAAAAGGTACAGTAAAACAATCACCGGTACATTTGGTTATAATAATAAATGTTTCCATTACGCAAACCTCGTTCTCTTCATAAAAGTGGATCACAACAATCTTAATCTCAATGTGTGTTCAATAGCACACGAACTATGTAGATGCACACTACTGAGGAGTTCAATACTAGGACAAATCGGCCGTCCAGTGCTTACAGGATTTCCATGTTGGTCTAGTTTCAACTGATTCATGATTTAAACTATGAAATTACATAATTATTAAATGAAATATATATATATATATATATGGAGTTCGGTTAACTCAATGAGTATAAAGTAGAAATCACCATTGAAATAATGCAAAAATGTAATTGAATTAATTAAAAATGAAGGAAACGTACGTCCCTACAAATAATAGGAAAATCTAGTCAGTCAAGTATTAATTAAGAGTTAATTAAAATAACTCATAATGTCATTGAATAAGAAAAAGGGGAATTCAGCGAAGAAATTGTCTTGGACAAAATAGTCCGTACAAATATTTATAAACAATTGTGTTCGCAAAATATTCAACATTCCATGGCCAGATACCATCAGCAACATTGTCCTTTGGGAGAGGACAAACCAGCTTTCAGATGAAGAGTAAATTAGGAATAAACGTTGAAAGTAGATTGAACGTACATTAAGGAATTCAACAAACTGCATCAGCAGGCAAGCTCAACTTTGAATCCAGAAAAGAAGCGTAAAAGAGGAAAGCTAGAGAACATATTACGCCGGAAAATAGAAGCAGATATGAAAAAGATGAATGACAACTGGGAAGAACTGGAAAGAATCGCCCAGGACAGAGTTGCTGCTCCACGAGGGGTAACAGGCGTAAGTAAGTAATGACTTGATAAATTTGATGTTATTTTCACTTAATGATCTACTATCAAGTGAGACGATTGACAGCAAGTGATAAAACCTATGGTTCCCAACTATTTAAAAATTTATGCTCACAGTCTCATTTCATGCAATTATAGTCACAAACAGTTACGTATAAATCATAAGAGAACTGGAGTGAATTGGTATAAACATTGTTTCGATATTCACAACAACGTTTGAAGGTCAATTTTTATTGTAAAGTAGAATCATCATACGTTCGTTAACCATCCGATATTGAAATAAACAAAAATGATCTGAGTTTACAATGAACAAGCCACACATTTTGTGACCTTCATTATTGTGAATATCAATTTGTCCTAAACTATCGCATGATTATTTAATTCAGTCTTTCGACAACGTGATATATGGAGCAGAAAGTGAAAAAAATTTTCAATTACTTACTCAGGTGACCTTATAGAAAAGCAGCTCACAGACTGTCTGTCTCATTCAACTAGTTCAGTTACCCAATTGTTGAATTTCTTTTTGTCTATAATTTTCAAAACACATATAAATACATTCGATATACTCACTGACTACTAGTTGTAAGGGGCTGAAACATGGTGCAGCCTGCTGGTCATATATTCAATTTGTTAGCAATGATGATGGGTGAGTTAAATATTTACGAGATGAACTTTTGTTTTTTATGTGGTAAATATAAACACCAGGAAGATTATATTCAGTTAATCCATTCTATATATTTTCACTGACAAATTCGAATGCTTTCAGCGGTTGATCACACATTGTCAGCAATAGGTTAAACAGAACAGTATTTATACTATTATTAATTGATGATAACAAAAGCGTCTTTATTGGTTAATAGGGTTGTAATAATCTTTTTATCTCAATGAGTTCGTCAGTGATCATTATGGTAAGAAATGCGTCTGTTTACGTATCCCACTTTTTTATCATAAATAACGTGGAATATCAACAATATTGTGGGAAGATATTGGTCTCACAGCGTCATCGTTCGTTCAGACGATTATGTGAATTTTACAAATGTGTGATGTTTTCGAGATCACAGCATCAAAGGCATTTTGTCATAGAAACTGAAATTATTAAACTTTATTTTACAAAATACATGTCATTGTTGAATGGCATGCAAACATGCATGCATGTTTGATGTTTGTATTTTTTTACTGATCACTTCAGCACTTTTATCAAAAAAAATGGTGATCGAAACGTATCAGCCAGCATATTTGAAGACGAATATGGTTGGAAGTAGGTGAAGTTGTTTTTCAGATGTGTGGACAATAATTTATCATTTCCAAAGTAATAATATTCGTAATTATATGCTTCGTTTCATTGCAATCTCTCTCCTCTTCTAACGATGATGAGTGAAATTGTGATAGGTTGACCAGTGAAAGACGAGCGACTGTTTGTTTTGTTAACAAGGAATAACTTGCCACCTAATAATTAAATCATGGCTATAATTAATCCAACTTGCTGGTGGTTGAAAAACAACTCAAGGAAATCGATGTTGTATTTATCAACTGCCAAAGGACATAGATTCCTAATAACTGTTACAAATGGAAATCGATGGTCACCGCAGACGCATTTACTCAGTGAAAGCAAGTGAAGTAGTCTTATGAAACCATTTTCTAGAGGCTGACGATCCTAGTTACCGGACAGACAACAATGGAGTCCATCTAGTCAAAATAACCGGTCACACTTGTGCATGTGTCTGGATGCTGCTTGTATTCTGGTACCTTGAACAGTGTAGTCTAATGTGTTATGATCATGTCACTTCGTTACGCCTGCCAAATGTGAAAAGTTTTGAAGCTTACTCAGGAAATACGAGGATATACGTACATTGTCTCAGTTGTGTGTTTGTGCACAGTAAAACAAAGCTATCTAAGAACATAATTAAACCAGACGAATCAGGCGACGGATGAGTTCTCTTGATAATATGGGATTGACCATAAGTAACAGATTTATACTCCTTTCTATAGTAAACGCAAAATATTTGTATCCTTTTACAGAAAACCCAAGATCAAATACTTTACGTGTAACCCAAGAACAGACGGAAGCACTGGCGTTTGAATGGAAACCGATAACGCACAATTCGTTGAAATATGTCTATTTGATACAACCCACAAGCTACTTTCAGCAGACTGTGGAATATATTTATACCGGAGATATAGGAAAATTGCCCACTATTGGAAAACCGTGTGAAGCAACACATTATGAAGCTAGAGGTTACTATAGTTGGGGTCTGGCGTTTTCTTCATTGTTTATAACCTATGCCATTGAATATGAACGAGGTGAGCTTGTTATTATACTGCAGTTGCTCATTAATATATTTTATCTCTGTATTCATACATTTCGCGATGAAAGCAGTGAGGAATCTGCTTAGAAGTTTCCACAAGTAATATGCTTGAAAGAATATTTATCTGGAATTATAATAGTGGATCCAGTGTTATCAATAGTCAGTTATTTAAATGTGCTTTAGCGAATTCAGGTTGAAAAATAATGGTTTACGTATTACTTGATAGTGGCTATGTGCATTTATTTTGCCTTTCATGTTTTATTGTTTTCTTACAGTTCCGAGGATCGAAAATGTTCGGATACAAAAACACTCTGATTCGTCTTCACGTGTGACATGGGGAAGAGAAAAGTCACCATGTGAATCCGACACCACAATTATATTTAGGGGACATTCAACACATACACTGGAGATGTTTGTCATACCAAGAAATGAAGTTGAATATTATGTGGACCACGCAAAACTGAAGGAAAAAAGAGCAGAAGTGTTCATTCTGTCCAACAAACATGGGGATCGTTTCTCTCTACCAACAATCGGTAACATTATCTGCATGTTTGTCATTGTTTGCCACATTTTTTGAACGTACAAAGTTTCATGAATAAGATAATAAGCATATTTGTAAGTTCAATCCTTACCTTTAACGGTTGAAAAATACAGGCTAATTATCAATATTGCCACTTAGTAACAGCATGGTTCACGGACGTAGTCCCAAATATTATGTTTTCACACAGACGAAAAATTGGCATAATTGTTCGTATTTATAGGGTAGTACCTGACTTTTGCTGAATTATCAAGTTCACAGTCCACATTACAAGTTCAATCTGATCATAATTGTAAATATCAGAGAAATCGATATCTAGAAAGTGAGGCCGACTTCGGTTTGACACGATACCAACCCAGATTCTGGAATTCTCGTATATGACGGAGTTAAGTAATCATGAAAAGGCAGTGTCAACCATAACATAACACGTACTTAAGCTCCGGTAACAGCTTTTGAAATTGGACATATATTTTACTGAGTTTCTGACAGTACCTCATCTCAATTTGATTACGCATGACACGCCTGTTTCCGAATAAATCACCATAGATAAATGATGATCACCTACTTTGCTGCAGCCATGATCAAGCAATTAAATGGCGTGAATCGTTGCTAAGTGACGCGGATATGATGAACCATTGATTCACATATACGTCCTGCAGTCACAAGGCCTGATATTTGTCTGATGGAAAGAAGGGTGACAGGGGTAATCGTACACAGTGAGGTCTTAAGTACTGCAAGACTGAAATCGCAGTCGAGATACTTAGATCGGTGAGCTGTGTTATTATTTTTTGCAGAGCATACTTTTCTTCATTTGATGTGTTTGTTTTCAAACTTTTTTCTTTTTCACCGGAATGAAAATGGAAACGTCATGAATGTGAGTTTACAGACTGAACTGTCAAACGATTGAAATACTTCGTTTCTGTAATACATTTCTAGTAGTAAGATGAACGAAAGACATTAGATTACGTCTGACCAATATTCAGGATTACGATATATTGAAAAAATATTCTACGAGTCAGTGTGATTTGTAGCAAAATATTTTTATTGTTTTTCAGGAAACAAAAGTTAAATGTAAGTTACCAAAACATGTCACTATTCTTAAAGTTCAACGTTGTGGACTGAAATTTTCAAATATTGACCGCATGAATTTTGACAATTTGAAGCCGGATAAATAAATTTTGGAATCTATATAAAAATTTGCATAATACGTCAGATCCTTAACACCACAGAGCTTACTCACATTTGAAGTTAATTTTTTTAATAACAAACAAAAATTCCAACACAATCAAATCAAAAGAAACGTAGATGTGTTTCTTTAAGGAACAAGTCATAAAAACACCCACGTTACAACATTGATTACTCAACCAAATGAAAGTTATCTTGGGGAGGACTTGTGAGAATTCACGAAATTGCTTTCAATAACTCCTCCACCACGTGGAACCATCAATATTTTCACGCATATTTATTGCGTGTATTTTGCAGATGAATTATTAGACAAGAAGGTGAACGAAGAACGATCGACAATTCAAACGGAATGTAAGTTAACCACATAATCAGAAATCTATTGACCGTAATGTAAACACGGCACAATTGTGTATAGTATCTACATATTCACGTTTATTGACTTGATTGTCAATACACTATTTAGCTTCATTTGTTTGTTTTATTAATGTAACAGCTGCAAGTGTGACGGTGGGGATCAAGGAGGACACGGCAACTCTCAATACAAGTGAGTTTCTTACCAAACACGTGTTTTACAAATGTTTTCCTTGTCTACCAGTTATTCGTTGTTGAGGAATTTTCAAGTTTTATGTTATCTCGATCGACGAATCATACGAAGTATTTTACAGAAATGCTACAAATGAAATGTGTTTCTTTTATAAATACAGTTAGGCTTGAGTTATGGTAGTTGGATAAATTTATCTCGTATAACTGATGCAATTGGACTTAAATATTTCTAGTAGGCGTCCACTGTATCAAGCATTTTGTTAACAACAACCGAATGTATTTCTTTTCATCAATATCGAGTATGACAGAAATCATGCTTCAAAACCTCGGTCGTATCAACGTTTACATTCTCAATGTTTATTTGAAAAGAAAGCGTGTGTTTTCACATGAACAGCGAGAAGTTTTTGAAATTTTCAAACATGACAACAATTCATGAGAATCTGAATAAACAAACAACTAACTTTTTATTTCGTGATTCAAGTGTGAAGGTTTGTAAATCACCTAATTTTCAGTAGTGTATTTTTCCGCATATCAAATAAATGATCCATGTGACAGTGACATTTATTTCTTTACGCGTGGCAAATACAAGACACGCATCCTCAATGAAATAGGCCGTTATCCCACTCACGTTACAACATTGATTACTCAACCAAATGAAAGTTGTATTGCTCACGACCTATTTCAACAGCAATGATTAAAGTTATGTCATTGTGAGAATTCATAAGATTGCTTTCACTAACTCATTAACCTGGCGGAACAGTCAATATTTTCACGTAAATTTATTGCGTGTATTTCGCAGATGAATTACCAGACAAGAAGATGAAAGAAGAACGACCGACAATTCGAACGGAATGTAAGTTAACTACATAACCAGAAATCTATCGATCGTTATGTAAATTTGGCTTAATTGTTGACAGTGTCTACACAATCATGTTTGTTGATTCGATTGTCGAGTTGGATATCATGTAACATGGTACAGCTCTTTCATCAATGTTCTATCACGAGTTTGAGATTTGTGTATATTCTGTTTGTTGACTCGATTGTCGATAAAATATTTAGCTTCATTTGTTTGTTTTATTAATGTAACAGCTATAAATGTGACGGTGGGGATCAAGGAGGACGCGACAACTCTCAATACATGTGAGTCTCCTACCAAACACGTGTTTTGCAAACATTTTCATTATCAATCAATTATTCGTTGTTGTTATTGGTCTGAGATAGTCTTAGTGATGTGTTTGTACTTTTCCGAGTGCTTTTGTTTGGCCAGTTATTATTTCAATGTTTGTTTCCATCTTACAGATGTTTGCGTTCCTCTTCCATCACTGATGTTATTTTGATTTCCACACGTGTGTTTGTGTGATTTAATCCTGAGTGCGTCCGCACTATATTCCGCTGTTGCAGAAGTATCCTTGAAATGTCATCCTCCGATATTCTGAGCAAAGTTCTATTCAAAGTGTCATCCACCAAACCATTGTTCGACTTAGGCAGTGAAAAATCAGAAATCATTAGGAAACACTGTGTTTCTCCTTCATTTGTAACTTCAGCTTCTCTCAATTCTTCATCTGTTAACAGTACGCCTACTTTCAGTGTGTTGAAAATCGGCTTCCATGTTGCTTCCCATAATTGTCAGATTTTATTGATCAACAAATATTTCCATTCTTTAATTTATGTCAGATTATATATCACTGCGACCATTGGTGTTTTTACTTGCAGTTTTAATACGTGTCAGTTTCCAGCGAAACTCTATTATTTTAGTTGAGTATATCTACGAAAATCTTTTTTTCGTGGGTTTGAATATTTTACTAGTTTTATCCATATTCATTATTAGATTCAATTGCTTGTTTGAGTGTAACTGCTGAAATTCTTTGTACTTTACTTGTGTCCACGTCACATCCACAGCATCAAGTGTTCTATATTCATCAGTTTTCCAAAATATTGGTTCTTCAAGTAAGTGTGCTATTTACTGAGACTTTTGTTTTAATGCTGACTTAACTTGTGATTTCTCATGTTCTTATAGACCATCTGAAGGTGTGCATATTACTAGAGTTAGTAGATTCAGCCTAAATTATACGTAAAATATAACTACTCGGTTGACTTTGTGAAATATCAAATTTTATCTTGTCTTTATTGAGACCAGTTGAGTCTGAATAGCTGATACGACGTTTTAGTGTGAATCGGATAAGTTCATACGATGAAAATTTTATGAGTATATCTACGCAAGATAAATCAGGTTTTCTTGTAATGACGAACAAAGACATTATATCAATTAATCAAATAATGGTAAAAATACTGTACGAAACAATTACGTCGAATGAATATATATTAAAACACTTATTCCCATCGCTCTGATAATCTACGTCCCACAAATTGATATCTTGTATTTTATATGCATACTCTCCTTTACAATTTACACTTGCTCTCACACAAACTACTCCCAGCTCACACTCATGGATTTTCAAAGAAATGGTACTTAGATTATCCTAATCACTTATTGAAAGAATTGTATTAGGGCTCGATTTGTTAATGGATTTCAGAATGTTACGATTTGTCAATTTATATCAAATGGTGGTGCATCCGCTTTGTGCTACAAATCACAAGGTTGTTTTATTTATGTATTTGTTAGTGCATTTCTTTTTATCTTCCATTATAACTTATGTCTGATAGTTTAATTGATTTTCACATCAGTAAACAAGTGTTACTTATCAGTTATTACACTTTTCTCTAACAGATATCCTTATACCAATATTGGTTGTGGTAGTTTTTGTGGTCAGCATAATTTTGTTTCTTCTTATCAAAGTGTTCTAACAACAACACTGTCGTGTATTCGTACACGTGAATGCAACATGTTTATTACTGATCAACTGTCGGTTTCATATTCATAAATATAAATTGTTGTCTTCACATTGGTTTTGATTTTTAAATTAACTAAATTCAGTAGTGTTTTCAATGCAAATCAAAACACTTGTAGGCAGATGAAGAGGGACTAGGAATAATTGAGTAGAGAGCTGTTTTCATTGACTTTGTCATTATGCCTCATGGTTATAAATCTATTATTCACGTTGACCAGTTGCACGAACGCATTGACCATCTGGCTTTAATCACCAACGCATTAATAACTGAAATACTTAAATAAGACAGACAACAAGGTCCATAGTCTCTTGAATCACACAACGGTAACTGCATATGGATTCGGATTGACGATATAAGGGTGATGAAACTGAAATTGGATAATGAATCAGTGTCTTACATCCTCACATGAATAAGATATGCAACAAAAATAGTGTAATTGAAATGACATACTTCGTTCTTGAATCTGTTAGAAGTCTCAGCTCTCTCCAAATGATTTGGACGTTGCTTATCTGATCTTCATAGACATGGCCAATGTTAATTGTCCTGAGGATTTAGACTTCTGAAGTGAAGCAACTGTTCTATGCACCATAATTTTTTTCAGTTATCTAACTAAGCTTGGTCAGTGTTGAATGGAATGAAATCTTTATGGTTTTAAAACAAAACGACTTGTGCAAACCATTGATCAAAGTTTATCAGATAATTAGACTGAAATAATAGTACATTTTATGTTTATGTTTAGCGATGGTATTCGTATCCACTGGAAAGAATATGTAATCGGTGAAACATAAATGTTCCTTATTGTAGGGGTGAGGGAGAACACTAGAAGGGATAACCAAAAACTATTTCATTACATTACAGAATATCTTTGTTAAATCTGAGAACCAAAGAGTAGCAGTCCATCAATCTCCGTAGATCTTGTTTTCCTTTTTCTTTATGTTAATCACACTGTTTCTACTCTTTTCGATCTTCTCACCCTTTTGGATCCAGTCATAATTCTTCTGATTTGTGATACATATAGGTTACATCTCTAGTTGTGATTGGCACACATCTCCTTGCAAAAAGATTTGAAGGATGATAAAATTGATCCGGCTGAACAAAATGCTCATGTAAACAAATTACACCCCTGGACAATCGATAAGAAGAGATGCTAAAACGAAAATTGTATGCATGATAGGAAAATGCATATTTATGCTTATGGAAGCACCCTAATAACTCGGAATAATAAGATACAAATTATAACGCACTCACCTTAAGCAAGGAACGTGTTTCAGTTACTGACTAACTAAAGGTAGTCCAGTGAGCTGATGTTGTTATGCTGTAAACACAGTGTTTATTGTATTTCAATCAAAACAATGAAAGTCAAAGTTGGTTTACTCTGGAGAACTAATTATTGTTGCCATCGACGACTCTAACTGTCTGCATGTTTGTTTCTATAGGAACAGTTTCAACTCATTTATGTTATCGAGAAAAACGAAAGGAAACAACCTCCGCTTTCTAGTTTTATTCGTTATTATTGACAATCCAACCTACAAACTAGACAAAATAACACTGAGTTCTCAGTGATAGTGAATACGAGTGCTGTTTTCCAAAATATTATGAGACCCAGACACTCAACAACTCTGGACGTAGTCAGAGATGCTCTCGATCTATCTCAGGAGCTTTGTTATTAAAAATATGTCATATGGCAGTAATAGACAAGTTGGACTCATCATGACATGCATGAAAGCAAGTATAACATTGAAAAACCGGAAGTCCGCTACCAGTATGCAGTGAATGTTTGTTGTGTTGGCCATTAAAAGATGATTGAGGGCCACGGTGAAGAGGTAAAGGGCAAGTGTTATTATGCAAAGTCATGTTTCGTTTAAGATATGGTGTCAACCGGTACATAGTAGCTTCATTGAAGATGTTTCACAACCACTCTTCGAGATGAGGAGTACCTACAAATTTCCGCCCTCCTGTTTGAGTTATTTTGGACTAACTGTCTTTCAATTCGAGTGCTTCATACGCCCTGGAGAACTTGATTTCGATAACAATCATAGTATCAGTATAGCTTTCTCGCACAGTAGCCTCTATTTTCATTTCAAAATTGGCATTAAAGGTTTCCTAAATGCTCCTGGTAATCTAATAATAATATTCCATATTTCAGGTAGTTGATGAAGACAAGTCGTGCTATGTGCATCTCTGATATTACCATCATTTTACTCTCATTTTTAACTGTTACGTATTACCTTTGAAAATAAAATCGTTGTATTCACTAAACACAAACTTATTTGTCTTGATGGAGATAAGTGGAGTCATGAAATATGCAACAAGACTAACGCGGTTATTTCATGAAATGGCTAAGCGAGCTCGTAGACCGATGTACGGTGCCATGCGGGTACCTTTAGGTTACCAGTGTTCCATTGGTGTAGGTTAAGGCACTCCTTGAATATCATGGGGTACTTGAGTAAGCAACTATGTGAACAGACGCAGGGCCGGTTAAGATGTGCATGGCGAGCGTCTATCCATCAACTGCCGTGGCACGTCATGGTTGCATTGTAAATGCAAAAAAACAGTATTGGCTTCAGTCAAAAATGTGAAATAGGTAAATGAACGAATTACATGTTTTTATGCAAAAGATTTACGCAGCTGTGATTAACTCCGAGTTCATGAATGTGAGTTTAAGATTAGGTCAGCTACTATATCTTATGCAAAGCATTCTTCATGCTAAGTACCGTTTTGTACAGCTTTTATCATTTTGCTTCTATTGAAGACCCGACCGTTGCTGCTACTTTGACGTGGTGGTCGGGCTTGCCTATCGTGACGAAGCAATCGAGCTAAACTGGCTGGAACAATCGTTCCTCAAGGTCCTACCATGCCAGACAGGTCGGTTGAAGAGCGATGAGACTAAAAGCAGCAAACCCAAGGTCCGAAGGCGAAGTCGTACTGCTGACTGTACAGAGGTGTGACAGCAGTAAGGTGTTTCCTTCAGACAACCAGCATGACAGCGATGCTGCCTTTCCACAAGGAGTGGTGGGGTTAGAAAAGGTCGACCCTAAAAATGCATACCTCGCCTTATCCAACGGATTTCCGTCTCCGGAGGTAGAGTCCTTTGAAGAACGGGGCTAACACAAAAACTACCCACAATAAGGTCGTGTGTGACCGACCTCAAGCAGTTGTCCCTTGGGCACTGCGGTCACGCTCTTAGGTCATTAAGACCACTTCTAACCCAATTTCCTTCTCAGGTCCCTCAAGAAATACCCTCCCACGGTGTGGAAATGATAACTGCCCTCATACCCGTAACAACACACGAGACCAAGTTGGTCACTTTCAAATCCTTCCTACACCTAATAACAACTCTCTTATCTCCACGACAAACCCTTCCCACGTCCTTCTATCACCTCGCATATAGGAACTTTTAATGTTCTAACATTGTGCCAAATAGGACAACAGGCTTCCTTAACTAGAACTCTAGAATCTTACACCATCGATGTGTGCTGCGTCTCCGAAACGCGCATACAAGATCCGAGTAGTGTCATTCATTTGACCTCACCTAATCAAAATAAAGAACCATCTCCATACACGCTTCGTGTATCTGGAAGCCCTGATGCTGCTTCCCGTGACTTCGCTGGAGTAGGTATAGCATTAAGTCATACGGCAGAACTAGCTCTTTTAGACTGGATCCCAGTAGACAGTCGTCTATGCGCTTTCCGACTAAACGGATCAGTAAGGACTCGGAAAGATAGGGAAACTCGTCGTTGTCTCTTCGTCATCTCTGCCTTCTCTCCCACGGACTGTAGCTCAGACGATATAAAAGATGGGTTCTACACGAAACTTTCTGACCTTCTCCGAAAAGCTAGGCGTTCTGATTTAGTAATAGTGGCCGGTGACTTTATTGCTCAAGTAGGTAAACTAAGTGAAAAGGAAAGACACCTGGGTGGATCTTATGGTGTCATGGCGGAAAGAACAGACAATGGCGACCGTCTGTTGCAGCTGTGCTCAGATAATCGCCTATTTCTTGCAAATACTAACTTTAAGCATAAGGAAAAACATCTTTTGACATGGCGACCCCCGAATTCGTCCTAACGTTGGACCCAATTAGATCACATCGCTATTAGCCACCGATGGAGAGGCTCGATAGAAGACTATCGCTCATTCTGGGGCACATGTTTAGACTCATATCATGCTCTAGTACGAGCACGTATCTGTCTGCGACTTACTGGACGCAGGAAAGACACTTCAGGGAAGCCTCTAAGGGTTCTACTTAATGATAAGCAAACTAAGAATATATTTCAGGAACAAGTGGAAAAGCAGTTAGACAGACATGTAAGTTGTGTCTAGCCCGAAGCAGCGTGGAATGACATCCGAAAAGCTGTGGAAACAGCAGTGATATCCGCTGGTAAGGTAAGCCATAAGGTTAGGGAGAAACAATGGATCTCGGCAGCATCTACCTCACTGATAGATGCTCGAAAACTCATTCCTCCTGGCTCTGAACATAACGAAGAGCGGAGTCAGCTTAAGCGAAGGCTAATAAGAAGCGTACGCAATGATCGTGAACAGTGGTGGGTAGCGAAAGCAAGAGAGATGGAAAAGGCAGCGGCTATAGGTAACAGCAGATAGCTGTTCGGACTTATTAAAGAAACCGGTATTAGGAACCCAACTATTAGCGAAACTAACTCAGACACAGATGGACATACTATTCATTCTCAGTCCAGGAGATGGGATCGATGGGCAGAACACTTTAGGGATCAGTTCAACTGGCCTTCAGCCACACTTCAGTTACCCACGATCCCCAGTCGTCCTGAATGGCGAATTGATGTAAGTCCTCCAACCCTCTGTGAGGTTGAAAAAGCTATAGGAAATCTGAAGTGAGGGAGAGCAGCAGGCCCTGACAGGTTGACCCCTGAGATTTTTAAGGATGGTGATCCAGTACTAGCAGCGAGATTGACTGAGGTCTTAGGTAGAATCTGGGAACTGGACGTAATTCCATGTGACTGGTCCCAATCACTGATTGTGCCAGTCTATAAGAAAGGACAAAAGTCCTCTTATGACAATCACAGAGGGATCAGT